ATTTGCGTGAACAATCAGTTGAACAGGTATACCTATTAAAGTAGCCTAATAAAATTATATTATTATGAAATGATAATTATATAATAAATATAAATACAAAATGGCTGCCTTATTATACACATTTATTTTATTTTAATATATTTTATTTTTGCATTTTGAAAACTCAAGTTTCTGTTTGTCCAAATGTGCAGTATAGCCTACAATAGAAGTGATATCAACCTTCATTTTATTTGAAACATAAAAAAAAAACTAGAATGGAGTACAAACTTTGCTGCATTGTATATTTCATGCATAAAGAAAATGGTCATACTTTACAGTGCATAAATACTGTACGAATGACTTTTTTAAGTATGTGTTATTTAATGCATTATTTCAACAGTTTAGATAGTTTTCTGTAGTTAGTTTGTCTTAGAAAGTCAGTCTGATGCTGACTCGAACCGATATGAATATATTTAGCATTCCATTCTTTCTTTCATTCCACCCTTGTATACGGATGTTTCCGTCTGTTCCAGTCCTGTGTTCCTTAGAAGCAATAAAAGATTCATATACTTCCACCCTAAGGTTCACTAGTGACACACTTATTTACATCCTAACCAATTAATGTCCACTAAACTCCCAGCTAAACTGCTCCATAGAGCCACTGGAGGATCTAGTCCACTTCCCGCACCGCACTGGTCTCAGATCAGTAAACAGGCACACTTAGAAGATGCTCTTACTTTGATCATGTTGGTTTTACTTCCACATGACTGCACACAAATGGTGTATTGATTGTATATGTAGTGGCTATACTGTGCGTGTGGCTTTCTGGTCTGTCTGTCGCCCTCTCACTCTCTCTCTCTCCTCTCTGTGATATTTGGATCTGGAGAGGGTCCAGGACTGAGCTTCTCTTGGGCTTTAACAGCACAGAAGGCTTTTTGGCACCCAGAGCCAAGGTCAAGCTGAGTGGCCATATTGTACTTTATGAGAGGGTGGGCTGCTCCGAGGGCTAAAATGGCCTTGTGTTAGATTTATTGCCTGTGGCAACAGCATGCAGATCTGCTGCATTCTTGACTGGAAATTTTTAATGTACAATGCAACATTAATAGGTTAGGAATTTGCACAATGAGTTTTACTGATATCTAATTCGGTGCTATTAAAGTGAAACACAATGAAAGGAACCAATTATCATTAAAAGGAATCCTTTTAAAAGGTTCATTTGGAGACCTTTAACTAGTTTAGGCTTGTTCCGTATTAACTTTCTTATGTCTCTGTGTTATATATATAGAATGTGACAGAACGTTTCTGTCGTCAGACTTTTCAATTGTTACATTGTTACATACCCCCCCCCCCCCCAAAAACAAAACCCCATTAAATTGATAAAATTTTAAATACATCTATAATGTTGCAAAGGATTTCAATTTCTGCTCTTTTAAACTGTTTTTAACATTGATAATAAAAAAAAGTTATTTTGTGTACCAAATAAGCTAATTAGAATGATTCCTGAAGGACACTGAAGACTGGTGTAATTCAGCTTGGCCATCACAGAAATAAATGACACTTTAAAATATAATAAATAGAAAACAGTTATTTTAAATTGTAATATTTCACCATATTACTTTTTTACTGTACTTTTGATCTAAATGCAGGCTTGGTGAGCATTTTCAAAAGCATTGAAAAATCTTACCGATCCTACATTTTTGAATGGTTGTGTGTAATATATTGTAAATTGATTGGAAAATATTCAAGTTTTTACAAAAAAAAGAAAGAAAAAGATTTACTGATTCATTCACTGAATTAATCAATTACTACCTCTCTTGTTTCAGGTAACCCCAGTGGCAGGACCACCACATGGGGGCACCAGAGTGACCATCCGTGGTGTGAACCTGGGCCTGTCCTTCCCAGACATGGTCAACAACGTGCAGGTAGCAGGAGTCCAATGCACCCCGCAGGAGAACGGCTACATCATCGCTGAACAGTGAGTGACTATGGAGCTGTAAAACTCCAATGAATTTGTGCTGTGAAAGATTAGAATGGGGAAAAAACTGGTTTAGCTTATCTTTAATCTTTCTCAAAATAGCAGGAGTTGGAAAAGATAATGTCCTACATTACACATACTGAGAAGCTGTTTCATGAGGGGGAAAAACTCAGCGGATGAGTCCATTAAACACACACACACAGGATCCAGTGAACATGGCTTTGATGTCACAAGCATTAAGCGACCAATCAGGGCTAAGTATGAAAGGCATGGTTGGTCACGACCGTTTCTTTTATGCTCTATTGAGTTTGTTTATCTGACAGAAACATTTTAACAACAACAGGAAAACATTTCTATCTGAAACATTTCTATTTTCTTGTCAAGCAGAAAACAAGCCGTAATTAGAGTCCAGACAGACCTGGCCTCTGCCTGGAGTAGGTCCCATTCTTCAGCATCTGTTTGTGTTGTTTTCCTTGTGATTGTCATTAACCCTATCTGTAAATATCCTTAAGCCAGGATTTTGTCACTAATATCATACCTCCTGGGGGGGGGGGGGGGGGGGGGGGGGGTGCTAAAATGTGATGATTTGTAGCAGTAGTTTTTGCTGGGACATGCAGAAAATGTCTGTACTCAGCATTTTTGTCAACCATTTGATTAAAAACAATGGGTTAAATGGTGAAATGTGTAATATCTACCCACTAGCATCACAACATTGCAAAAAGGTTTTTGAACAGGTTTCCCTAAACACTGTCCTCATCTTTGATTGGTCAGACAAACAGACAGCCCCGCCCCAATTTCACACCATTGGTTGAGATAGTTGCTGTGTCAGGCTGGTCGGAATTCTTAAACAAACAGAGATGTTTTAAAAGCGCCACTGTGTTTACACTTTGAAGAACTCAACCTACAAATGATTTAGTAATGATTGTCTCTGTCTGCATATTAAACTGTGGTAGTATGTTTGAAAGTAAAGTAGCATTAAAAAAATCATCTTTAAATCAGAAGACATGTATTTATTACTTTTTTTTTATCACACAGTATTAAAGGGATAGTTAGCCCTAAAATGAAAATTCTGTCATCATTTACTGACCCTCAATTTGTTCCAAACCTGTATGAATTTCTGTCTTCTGCTGAAAACAAAAGAGTATATTTTGAAGAATGTTGTTCACCAAACAGTTGATGGGCCCCATTGACTTTCATAGTATTTGTTTCCATACTTTGGAAGTCAATGAGACCCATCAACCTGAGGGGGTGGGTAAATGATGACTGATCGGTTTTGGGTAAACTGTCCCTTTAAACTTACATTTATCCTTATCTGTTTTTCTCTCTGTCCTCAAAAATAATCAACGGTACGTCTCAGAACTGACACGTAAGTGCGAGCACTGGGTTACAAGGACACTGTATCCAGCCATCTTTATCCTATATTGAAATAGGCAGCACTATGCAGTTTAACAGATTGTGATGATATTGTAACAACCCCTAAACAATAAGGGTAGCTTACAGGTTCCCTACTTGACAAAATAGTGGAAGATATCAATAACCTGCCCTCATATCCCGTACTCACACACATGCACGCACTCACAAACAAACAAATAGTCACACACATTAAATGAGGCCTCTCCAGCAAACAAAGAAATTCACCAGCAGATAGATAAACAATCCACACAACAATGAAAATAAAAAGTGTACTGCTGGCTTCCTTACCCGCTACCAGATGTGGGATACAGCGTTTCTGGAAATCAGCGGCGGCTACCAAACTTAGTTCGGGAAAACCACAACACTTCAAATTCACACTTCAGCCCATGTCCCGGCACGGCAGCCTCAGCAAGGAACTCAGCAGAACAAACCCTCCATAAACAAGAAAAAACATCATACCTTTATAGATTTGATCCCTGATTTGCCAATGCAACACAGGTGTTTATCTCTTCCCCAGCACAACATGAGGAAAACATTGTTTACGCTACTAACGTTGCCCCTCCACTTATTTGGGATGAGCGGCTTACAATATGCAATTCGACGTTGCATTAAAACTCACCCTGACCTTAGTGTAGACAGGAATTCTGAACGTTCTGCTTTCAAACATGTATGCCGTCATGTTGTAATGTAAGGGGATGTAAATAGCGCACAGTGTCTGCGCTCAGGTGCAGTGTGTGTCCACAGCGCCTCTCTCTGCCGCTGAGGCGGGGACAGGCAGAGCGAGAGGGGAACGTGTGGTAATTGAAATGCACGGCGTGCTGCCGGCTGTAGGAGGGAGATTTGTCAGCCCTTCTCTCTTCTGACAGCAGTTTAATCCGAGCGGGACGAAGCCGAGCCGAGTGGGAGTGGATTCATTTGTATGGCGCGGCGAAGGGGTGTCATGAGGAAATGGAGAATGCGCCTCTTTACCCCATCAAACCCGCAGACGGAAACGAGAAGCCGCGTATCTGTTTCAACAGTTCTCTCTGGTCATTTTTTGCTAAAGTTGTAAACATTAAGATCTTTTGCCATTTGATATAGTGCATTAAAAGAGGATAGGAAATAGTAGGGAGATCAGGATATCATCTAAGCCTCAAATAACTATAATGGCTTTATCCATGTACGTGTATTGGCTACTTTTGAATAGCTATCAAAGGTGCTTTTTCGTACACAATATGGTTTAGTCACAGCATCTATCAGCTCATTTCCGAAGCTCAACAGCTAAACTTTCTCCTCGCAGCAGCAATGATTGAGCACCCAAACTTGCTTCCAAACTTTAATTGCCTTAGAAGTGCAAGTCCTCCGCTCATTGTGATTGAGAGGGCATAATGTGGGCTGTGAACAGCTGTGAACGCTGTCTGCCGAGCCTGTCAGACTCACGGCAGGACGCCACATCACACCCACAATCACGCAGTCTGCGCTGCATGCATTCCCACAGTCATCCCTGATGATGCGAACACTCGATATCAACCAAACATCGATTGCAACACCCCTGCACTTTCAAATCAGATTTGAATTCTCATGTCGGTTTCATATTTACTTCATTTGAGGGCCGGTCAATGGGCTGTGTGTTTTTATTTTGTCATTTGCTCCTCCCACCCATCCGTAAAGCTGATACCTGATCAGCACGTATGATGTAGCAACATCGACCTGCTCCCTGATCAGAGTGCATGATAACGCCGTATTGATTTGTGCTGTGCGTCACTGGCCTGCGCTTTGGAGGCCGTATATAGGTGTTTCTTCAACTTCAGGCACTTCTTTATGTCAGGGGTTGATATTTTTTATTAAAACATGTCGTCTTCATTTATATTTGCTACTTTTGAAAAAGGCTTTTATTTATAGAATTAGTTGAATCATTGTCCCTATATTTGATATATTCGTATTATATATTCTTATATTATATACCCCTATATATTTTTTTTTAAAACTGTGATAATTTAAACAAAGAGTGAAATAATAGTTCTACCAGAAAGACTCGGGAGATAAAATTATGTAACGAAGCATTCATTTATTGGCAGCCCAGCAAGCAATTATTTGTAAAGTTCTTTGGCGTAGGCCCCGTCCATAGATCGTAATCCGAGGGTAGCGGATCAGCATCTCCTGCCTGAAGACGAAGGCAGGGGCGCAGCCGACCCCCAAGGGAAGTATAGATGGGACCATCCTGGTGGTGGTGGGGAGGGCGGAGGGTGTTGTCGCATCGGCATCTGCGAACTCAAACATGTGTAAGTACCGATCTTTTATACGATAAGAATAAGGGCGTGATTGGATAAACTTGAAGGTAACAAGTGACGCAGTAATTAAGTCTTCCTGGCAGAACTTATGCTAAAGCTTCCATTTCATACCAAAATGTGAAAATGGTGTCATCATTTACTCACTCTCAAGTTGTTCCAAACCTGTATGAGTTTCTAACTTCTGTTGAACACAAAAGCAAGTATTTTAAAGATTGTTGGTAATCAAACAGTTGACAGTAGCTATTGACTTTAGGAAAAAATATAATGGAGGTCAATGTCTGGTTACAAACATTATTCAAAATATCTTCTTTTGTGTTCAACTGAAAGAAACTCATACAGGTTTGGAACTACATGAGAGTTAAGTAAATGAAAAAACATTTTTGGGTGAACTTTCCCTTTAATATTTATTTTAATATTTTGTTTTTTTAAATATGTTTAAAAAAAGGCTCCATTTGTTGTCATTTCCAAAATACCAAAGGATTTTTCTCCAATAGTTGGTGTGCTTTGATTCCAAGATGACAACCGTGTCAATGTAGCCTGGGAAAACCCAGACAACTTCCGGCAAATTTAGATTTGCTCTGAAAGTTAGTCTGGCAAAGAGCTCATTCAAGCTCATTTCCAATCCGTCGAAATCGAGGCACCAATCAGAAACTTTGGGGCGGGCTTTACACGATGACGACAGCGCTGGGATTTTGAAGCAGATTTTGTAGCCTACATTACAAAGATGGATGCCGCCGTCGAACATCACTCGTTCGAATCAGCTATCGCGTCTGTTTTAAGCGATTTGAACGTTTCCTTTTTGTTAAAAACCGAGCAAAGAACAACACTCGGAGATGTTTCTCCGCCGCTCTGCATACGTCATCTCCTTCATCACTCTGATGGTTTTAGGTCTATCCGCGACGTCCGTTGGTGACGCCCCTCTGGAAATGATTTGTCTATGACGCTTTGCCAGACCATAACTCAGTTACAACTGAGAATGGTCTGGTTTTAACCAGGCTAGTGTCAATGAAGAGTTTGAAATGAAATAAGATACTTGTGATGTGTGTAGAAAAAAATGAAAATGTAAATATCACTTGTGAGCAGAATATTTTTTTGTCATTTCCAAGCTGTATTTTTGTCCAATTATGCAAAAAGTAAGAAAATAATATTTAATTGCGTGTTTATTAATATACATAAAATGCTAGCTATGTAATTAGTCTTACAGTTGCAAGCCAAAGGAGTCTGCCATTTTATCCTAAGAAAGTTTCAAATGTTCTCTCCGGGACCATCATTTCTATAACAGAGTGCCACTAAACACAATATATCATTTAAGATGTGGTAAAACTGTGACACTTTCAGAAAGAAATAAAAGTCAGATTTCTCTGATGTATGTATATCCGCTAGTGGACAACTATGTCAGTGGATAAATTAAATAATTCACTGTGAAAAGTGTGTTTTAAGAGTTTATTTCCCAAAAGTGCCTATAGTTACAGAAACAACCAAATGCAGTGCAGAACCTACAGGAACTTATGGTTTTAATGCTACAAAAGCATGGTGTGTTCTTCGCATTGGCACTCCCGTAGGGCGGTCTTGTCAATTCGGCTAATGGAATGTGTGCGCTAAAGCAATCAAAGCAAAAATTACATTGAGATCAAGAGGAAATCAATGGAGAGAGAGAGAGAGGGAGAGAGGGAGAGAGAGAGAGTCGCATACTGATCACTCAGCAGGACTGGAGATGACTTCCAATGCTTTGGTTCCTTAGTCTGGATGAAGTCCAGAAGCGTTAAAGCTTTGTAATCATAGGGACTGGATGGACCTGGATTTGTTTGTACAGAAGCTATGAGGGAGTGATATGTGAAATCCATCCTTTTAGGTGACTTTCATTCAAGTCCATTATGTAACGTTGTATATTTCTTCTTTCTCAGGATTGTATGCGAGATGGATGCAGCTCCTGCGGACAGTAAGCCCGGCCCAGTCCATTTGTGCGTAGGGGAGTGTAAACCGGAGCTCCAGACCCGCTCTTCTCAGCACTATTCCTTTGTGGTAAGACCTTGAGCTCTGCTACATCTAAATAATGCAGTGACGTAGTGGTGAAACCGGCCATTGTTTTGGTTTTATTAAACTGAGCTTTAGCTGGTCCATTGAAGAGAACTCACGGGTCACATGATGTTATGCCTCTGGACAGGTGAACCTTGCTGAGGTTGCTTTGTTCTCAGAAGCGATCCAACGAAAATGTCAAATCAGAGGAAGTGACTCAGAGCTCAACATACTGTACTTCGGCTGTTCAAATAGCTACGCTTTTGGAACAAAGACTTTCTTCTGCACATATTCATGAGGCCTTACAAAAATCCATATCTCTCATTAGTCCTCCTTTTGAAGTAAATATGCTGGTTTCTGATCTTACAACATTTATTTTGCTCTTATAATACTTAATATTCTTCCTCACAAAGCATTGCAATATTGCAATACATCTCATAGTTCTACTTTTTTTAACCAGAATGAAAAATCAAGTGGTAATGTTGCCAAATACTCAGTAAATGTGTTGAACAATATTGCACTACACATATATACTTTGTTGTCTAAGTTCCTAAATTGTATGCACCCTCTCCACCCTCACCCAAACCACCAGTTTGAAAACTCCTTTGAAGAATACCATGGTACTATAATAGAACATGTCCTAAAAGTCTATTCGTTTGCTACGTCTTTGGCACAAAAGCAGTATATTTGCATGTTATATTTATATATTTATATCCAGGCAGTTATCTAGGAAATCACTCCATTAATGTGTTGGAACTGTCTCTCCATGCAAATTTAGAGTCATTAAAAGCCATAAGGTCAATAAATTAACCTTTTTATGGCTTGCATGGCATTTTTATCGGCTTATTGTGCTATTTGGTCCTTTTTAAAGTAGCATTTTTGTGCATTTTCAGTAGATTCTGAAATGATGTTGTGGATTAGTGGATAATAACATCATTTACACATGTATTTGCCAAGACATTAAAAGAAAAGCGCGTTTATTGAACTAATGCACTCGTCAAGCACAAAAGACTCGAGATATGCTGTAAAAACTAGCTAATTTACAGATTGCTGCTGTGTGTGTCATTATTATTGGTAAAACAGCAGCCCTGCTTCCTCCGTTAAGAAGCGCAGCTCTCGTCGGCATAATAGAACATGTTTTCGGTTATTAAAATATTGAGTGATTATGAACACGAAACACCACGGGGAGCGCACATTGAACATGGAGACAATAAAAGCCATTAAGCGAATCAAAGGAAGGATGGTTGCCATGTTGTCTCCTTGCAGTCGAGCACCTGTGGGAACTCCTGCGCACCTGTCTCAAACACCCAACCGCCAGCCTGGGGTTAATAGATAATCAACGGCAGCATTCACACGCACACCAAGGCAAACAATTATCCATACCACCACAATTAACGGCCTCTGCTAATTAGGGGAGCTGTTTATATTACAATATGCGCTTCAGCCACTTCCTGTATGTGTGTATGCCTGTTTGTGTGTGCGTGTGATTTTCTTGCACGCCTTTCATATCGCAGTCAAATATAAAAGCAGCGTGTTATCTCAACCGCTCCGACAAATGTTGTCGGACAACATGGAGTCCCTAAGCGGCCCACCGGCTGTAGAACAATGAGAGGCGAGACCGAAATTGGTGTTAATTCATTTCTTAGTCCGTGCACGTGTGAAGTCGGCCACCAGCCATTTCATGTGCTTTCTTAAGACACAGAGCTGTCTGTTTCTGTGTTTCTCCATCTGCTATTTTCAGTCCCTGTGCACAATAAAGGAAGAGAACTGGGAACTAGAGTTTATGTACAACATTTTAAAAGCCTTTTATTTATCCTCAGACATGCTTTTCATGAGCTCGCATCACTCAGACAAGACTGGAAATGGCATTTCTTTGTAGCGTTCGCTCTTTATTTGTGAGCTCAGCAGCGAATGAGGCGAATGAGACTCATGAAGGACAGTTGTTATTTACAAACGTAGCTGTCTTTTGTGGAACTGCCACCCACATCTAGGCAGTTTCAGATTCAAAACATGCTTGTGTTCAGCTGATACAGATAACTCATTTCTTTGCCACTAACGGCACTAAATAGATTTATGTATGTATGTGTGTATGTATGTATGCATGCATGTGAGTGAAAACCAGCATTGACAAGTAGTATATGAAAGTTGGCCAGTAACATTTTTATGAATTCTAGCAATGCGTGAACGTGAACAAATGTGAACAAACGTGAACGACGCTCGGGACAGTTGACGGGTCAGCGCTTTATCTTCACTAAAGTTTCAGCCTTGACTAAAGTTACTCACTCGCTGTGTGAAAAGTTTTGCGTGCCAAAGTGTGCGTCAGGCACCGCACAAATACTATACTGAGCTATACTGAGCTATACTTCACATCTTCTTGCACTGGAGCGGACAAATTCACCCAAAATTGTCAAAAAATTGCCGTTATCCTAGTAAACATTATCGGTCATATCTTAAATGAACGTAAACAGTTGGGAAAGTAAACGCATGTGTACAGTATCAGTAAGCTAAATTAGATATGTGCGTTCACTCTTAAAGTGACAGCAGCCTAATATTCCTGCTGCTCTCTGTGTTTTTAATGTTAATCAAACAACAAAGGACGAAGAAAAAATCACTCACTGCTTTGACTGAATTAAGTTTGTAACTTTAATAAGGATTAATTAATTAAGATATATTTAATTTATACAGTGAAGTGTGCAGTGTCTTCAATATTGTTTTAAATGTATAGCTAGCTAGTCGTTTTAGCTGTGATATCGAAATTGGCAATGGAGAAAAGTGAATTTTCACTGATATCTAAAATTTTGGTGTCATTACTTCCAGTTTCATGGCAGGTAAAAAAAATACTTATGGCCGGTACATTTCATGTATTTATTTATAGGTTTTCTTCAAAATAAGTTAAAACTTGTAATGATATTAAATTGCAATAATATTTCACAATATTACAGTGTTTGCTGTATTTTTGATCAAATAGATGCAAACATGGTGATGAGCATAAGAGACAAAAACATAAAAATAAAAAAAATCTTACCCACCCCAAACTTTTGCATGTGTAAATAAAATGAAAGGTTACGCTTTATGTTAAGGAGCCCTTGTTACAGTGTAATTATACAAATAAGTACTGAGTGATAACAAAAAGTACTCACTATATAATTACAGTTAGGATTAGGGTTTGGTTTAGGGTTAGTTGCTTATAATCATGCATAATTTACTGTTATTACTATAGTAAGTACATGTAAGATGTGTAACAGGGGCATTGTAAAATAAAGAGTTACCAAAATAAATGAATAACAAAATGTAAACAATTATGCAATGTAGTTTTATCTTGAAGTAAAGCCTACTTTATCTTTAGCTTGTTTCCTTGTTTCCTACCTGTCTTCTCTTTCTGTCTGCAGATGCCATCAGTCACGGGTTTGTCCCCCAGTCGGGGTCCAGAGTCTGGGGGAACTAAAGTGACCATAATGGGGGAAAACCTGGGGGCAGGCAGCAGCGTCACTGTGCTTTTTGGGAACCAGACCTGCGAGTTTTATGAGTATGATTTTTTTTATATATTTTTTTTGCATCCTGTTATGCCTAGTATAAAAAAATGTGATTATATGGTAATACATATATTATATAAAATAATATACATATATTAGTGCTGTCAATCGATTAAAAAAATGAACTAACTTATAGAATGATTTCTGAAGGATCATGTGACTGAAGACTGTAATGACTGATGGAAATTCTGCTTTGCATCACAGAAATGAAATGTATTTTAAAGTATATTAAAATAGAAAACCATTATTTTAAATTGTAATACTATTTCATAATATTAAATTAATGGGGTTTTTTGTATTTTTGATCAAATAAATGCAGCCTTGGTGAGCATAAGAGACTTCTTTTAAAAACATTTTTAAAAAAGTAATGTTTCCAAACTTTTGACCAAAACTGTATAGTGAGAACATGGACACTGATGTCAGAAGAAAGTTGCTGATCCTAACTTTCTATAAACTTTTTACATCCATCAGAGAGCATTCCGGGTGACTTCCTGCTTCAACTTCCTTCAATTAAATGCTTGTTCCTCTAGATTTCTTCTGCCTTTCCTCTTCCTCTTACTCTAATTTTGCTAGCATACTTCTGTATGTAAATATCGTACCCCCCGCCAGACTTCTTCCTACAGTATATCTCCTCCTTTTCCTCTCACTCCAGGATCTAAAGTTAAAGATGAGGCTGATTGTAGTGCTTTAAGATGCAAGAGAGTGACTATGCAATAGCGGCTAATTGCAGATTTCTATTTTCCTCTGTGCTCCTGTGGAAGGATGACACGTTCCTGATCGTGTGCGAGGGTGCCATAAGTAATAGCTGAGCGTTCTCTAATACGCTGCAGAGAATGACTAATGCTCACTTTCCATAGGTAGCACTTTCAGTGAGAGCTGTAAGAAAAGACTGCAATTGAAAAAGAGCAGAGAGCCGCCCACTAGCCATTCAATATAGCGTGTCTGAACAATAAGTCTAGCCATCTGTTATTAAGTAAAGACTTTGTGTTGTTCTTAGTATCTTGTCAGAATCTGATTGGTTTGTATTTTCTTTGCCCACAGAAGATCTATGACGGAGATTGTGTGTTACTCCGCCCCTTCTCTGACGGGAGTAGGGCCGGTTCAGATCAGCGTGAGTGTGGATCGCGCCCAGGTCCGAGAGAGCCTGACTTTTGAGTATATAGACGACCCCACCGTTCAGCGCGTTGAACCGGAATGGAGCATTGCCAGGTAACAGTACATATATGATGCATTGTTTTAGTATTGGATTATTCAAATCAGATAGTGGCCTTCAAACACTGTTAGCAAACACTTTGGACTTTTTGAGGCTGATGATTCTAAGACCATTTGAATGGATGTCAGACACATTCCTGAAAGAAATTGATCTGATTCACTGAATGCAGTTCTGCATCTTTGTTCAAGGCCTTGTGTTGCTTTGTTATTCGTGAAAATGAATAAATGGCTGACTTGCATCCAGATAGATCCTTTCATCTTTTTCATAGTATTTACACCATGACAGGGTGATCATGAAGATAGTTTTATGAAAGTTTTATGAAAGCTTTAAGTCACGTCTGAGATCTAAAAATATTCTGCTGCTGCTGAAGTCCCGAAAACTTTGCACAGTCTGTCTTTGCAGAGAACATCTTATGTCTGACTAAAACTTTAAATAACAGCATATAATACAGTGGGGTCTCTAAACAGTCTGTTTATATTTTCTCATTTAAATTAAATCCGTTTCAAAAATGTCTTGCTGTAATGACAGCAACACACAGGTTGTCAGGAGTTAGTCACATGAAATAATGTAGAATCTAAAATATTTTGGGGGGTTTTTAAGATATAAGTTTTTCAATTACTTTTCTTTGTTTAAAATGCTCAAAGTTCTAAAACTTTGTTTATTTCAAGAATTAGATTTTGAATCCCAGATTTTCAATGTGATCTCATACCCCACCGTACCTTCCATACTTTTCCAAGATATAGAAAGAAAGTGAAAGAGAGAGTGAAAAGCTCAGATTTGCTTTTACAACATGCTATAATGTTGCTCAGGCAAAGTGTGTGGTTGTTATGACTATATCTTAAAGTGATAGTTCATCCAAATATGAATATTCTGTCATCATTTACTCACCGTCGTGTCGTTCCAAACCTATGACTTTCTTTCATCGCGGAACATATAATATATTTTGAATAATGTTGGGAACCAAACATGACCCCCTAAATTCCATTGTATAGACAAAAGAAACACTGAGGCATTTCTCAAAATATGACAGAATTTGTATTTTTTGGGTGAACTATCCCTTTATGTGATTTTTGAGTATTTCACTTTACACAACTGGACTGATTATACAGAGACTCAATATATTCATACCAAAGTGCTGCACATGATTATATACAGTAGCACAAATGAGACAGAAATAGAATATGCTGAGAATAACTACATAAGTGATGCTGAGATACAGGTTCACTACAAGCTGGAGTTAGAAATGCAGAAAAAAAATGCCTCTGTCTCACAAGACCTAGTCTCAGCCTCAGACGTCACGCCCACGGAACGTTGGATAAACGTCTGATGCATATGGTACACTTAACTGGAAACACTTCAGGAATGTCGAAGTCGTCATCTGATTGGTTGAATTTTATCGGATTTCCGGGGGGCATGAGTGTCGCGTTTATTTTCGGTCCGCCGGGAAACAAAGCGCAGACGTGTGATTGCGGAAGAAAAACTGTTGTGTTTACATGAGTGACAATGAGCATTTATCAAGATCAGCTAAACGTAGGATTCTCAAAAGTATGCGAGGTTCACGGCATAGACTCTTGGAGTTTTCTTCTCCTTCTTTGATTTTCTATGCTGACTGACTTGTTACACGCACGCCGGTCTGTTGTTGTGGGGACATTTCCACGCCCCGAAACGTGACGCTGAACGAAACGAACTGTAATTGGTTGTTTGACATGTCGGCCTTATGGGCGGGCCTTGGCCAAAGAAAGCTGCTATGAATGGGCTTTATGCACGCATAACTTCCGCGTTTGACGCAAGGATGCTCTTGCGTTTCCGGTTGGGGAGATTTAAAGCGGAGGAAAACCGAGGAAAACGGGATTATGGCAGAGTCTTCAAAATTTACTGTCCTCTCGTCTTTAAAACGAAACTTTAATACGTTTAGATGTAATTTTATATATAGTTATGTTTATTTAATATAATAAACAAAGAAGCATAAACAAAATGAGGGGTGTCTGTTTTGTCTGTTTTTGTGACTAACGTTTCTTTAGTATAGCAATAGAGTATAAAAACCAATATCAATTCTCGGTATAGCATTGGACTCTACGATCGGAGGAAGTAATCCAGCATCCTTAGACCTTCACCGGAAATACCGCCGTGCATAGAGCCCATTCCAGACCTTCAGCCGTCAGTCTGAATGTCTGGCTACGCGAGACTACACAAGACTCAACTCACAGATCAACCCGATCACACTAAATTCGTCTCTATAGCACGCACTGTGTTTATCGTGCAATTTATACGCGAAAATGAGTTTTTACGTGCATAGGATACGCATGGGTTGGTTAGGGTAGGTTTAGTAGTGGTGTGGGGTGCGTGTGTATTATACGTTTGGGTAGAATTAGTGGTGTGGGGTGCGTGTGTATTACACGCAAATGAACTGCGTATCAAATGCACGCGAAAACTGCGTATCATATGCACGTAAAAACTCATTTTTGCGTATAAATTGCACGATAAAACACAATGCGTGCTATGGAGACGCATTTACATGAGAACAATATAGAATCATGCCTACAAACAGGAACATTGTATTGTTCAACGGTTGCTCTTTCATGGCTTAGGAAACTTAAAGGGGTAGGTCAGTGGTTAAATTGGGTCGGGGCTCTCCGAGGCTCAGCCCCGGCACATAAGCCTGCTCGTTTGTGTCCTGATGTGCCTGTTTGCAGTCAGTTGCCTACTGGAAATTATGTCACATAAATTATGATGCTTTTGTAAACATATTTCTGACAATAAATGAAAGATTTTTGAAATGGCATGTCTATTTTGTCTCGGTGGAGCTGAGATGAGAACAATCGGAACACGGCCGTATTCTTGTCTCGTTGTCAGTCAACCATGATCGCGCACCGCTCGCGCATGCGCATCTAGGTGACACGGATACATGTACGCAGCAATATATATCTATGGCAATATATAATGAATGTTCCTAGGAGATCCATAGTTGCGCGGGATGTGGAAGCGCGCAAAAGTTCCAAAAATTTACAAAAAGTGCCCTGGCCTTGAATGACAAGGTAAATAAAATAAGACTAAATCAAAACGAAATAACCAAGACTAGGTTGACCATGTGATTTTTCTCAGGAGATGTTTTGAGCATTTTAGTTCAGACACCGGATTATCAGCAAACTGCCAAGAGAACTGCTAGCTGGCTACTCTATTCAGTCGGCATATTTGTGTTTGATCTGTGTGAATTACAGAAATATAAGACTTGCTAGACCTACTTTTAGCTACCAAGCAACCTTTCCACAAGGATAGAGTCATTTTATTTTTGTGACTTGTGCATAACTTGATGTGAAATGACGTAGAGTAGGCTGTGTGTGTGTTGTAGTAGTAAATAGAGAGAATGGGAGAAGGAAGTTTGTGTGAGGTGGACCTGGTCACCACAGACCCAAATCTTCTCAGCTGTTGCTACTGTCATATGCTGCACTGTCTCTTCATGGGGCACATTATGTTTGGTATTGCTGTATAGGAGAAACAATTGAGATATTGAATGGATCTCTTATGTGATTTTCCTGTGGGGGAGATTTTCATGCCATGGTGTCAGTAGATTGAGTCACAATGCTGTAGCTGTTGTACCAGAGCGTTGCCCACACTGAACAGAACAGCGTACGAGCGGCTCCTGGCTAATAAAGTGCTCAAGAGTAAACAACTGAAACACCTAGAGCAAGAGCTCCTCACCCATTCCACTCCCAGATGCTCAGTTCTTTTGTTGTGCTTTATCAAGCTGTGGACATTCCCAGAATGCTAAGCAGGATCACCGCTGCTTCTGTTCTTTTAGTGTTTTCAAAGACGCGTCTAGTATGTTTGATTAAATCTACTGAAGCCAGTTAAAAGCATCTTTAATCAGAACCTTCTCAAAAGCTTATTATCTTCTAAGCACCACATTACAAAGAAACAAGTTTTGATTCAAATTCAAAGTTTTCACCCCATTCACGATCACGACTGCTTGTATGTTTTTCAGCGGACACACGCCTCTGGTGGTGACCGGGACGAACTTGGATGTCATTCAGGAGCCAAGGATTCGGATCAAGTATGGCGGGCGGGAATCCGTAAATGTGAGTAGCTTCGTTTGCGTTATCGGTGGTTCGTCAATTATCCACCCTCACTTTTTAAATGACCTTAGTTACCTGAGCTCAGGAGCTTGTGGGAGAATGGCTCTCTCTTGTGAGCTGATATCTCACTAGGGCCGACACGATGAAACCGAATCGTATCAGTTCGACCTCCGAGATGCGTGACCTTGGGAAGTGGGATGCTTTGTCTGCAGGTTTGAGTTAATTATCGGTGACTTTCAGTGGAGAGAGGCTCACACAATCTGCACGCTGCCTTTTTTTGTGATGCATTAGACTAATTTCTGTCTTTTCTGTTGACCCACGGAGGCGAGATCCTTCGTGACTCACTGCCACAGCTTCAGAAATCTCATATATCTTCTACCCACAAGCCTCTGCGTGACCTCTTTTTCAAGCTGTGTATCTGTAATTTCGACTAAGTACCCTGCTGAATTATTCAGTCTGCGCAAAGTGGTGCGGATGAGGCATTTAATTTGAGCTTTTTACTCTGCTCATACCACCTTTGTCGAACTGGATTTTGTTGGCCATTATTTGTAGAGTCCTGCATAAAACCATCCAATGCATCCAATGCAGTATTGGTGGATAGTGGCCTGTTAAAAAGCGTTGTATTGGTTAATGGGTTTCAAAGAATCCGCAAACCCATTGGCTTGGTCAGCATAAAGATATCCCAAAAATAATAAGGCCCAAGGGCTAAAGAGTTGGTACAAATTCAATTTGCTCTCCACTGCAGGGGTCCAAGTTTAATTAACATAATAGGATTTTTCAGCCTGGTCAGACATGAGGATGGGATAGCCAGTGGCGTCTCATATCTTCTATTGTATTATATTTTTTTAAGTATACAGTACTGTATGATAGATCAACAATTATGTTTGTACGCTTTCTATTTACTTTATATATATATATATATATATATATATATGGAAAATGCTTATAATTGAAATTATACGTTTTTTGGTGGCAAAAAAAAGATGTATGATAGGACACATTGTAGGTTTTTGCCCATTTGCATGTCTATGAGCAATAATGATATGTAAAACGCGTCTTTTCAAGTGTGGAAGTGTTCAGAACAGCACTAATCACACATTATCTCTTACTTCACTGAGGTGAAAGCAAAACTGCTATAGCCATCCTTCCTCTGTTTCCAACAGCAGAACTGCACTTGAGTCCGTAGCTGTACAGATGTACCCGTGTGCGGGTAGTTCTCCTGAAAGTCACTTTTAGTCAAATAGACACCGACTGCGCAATGAGGAGTGACAGAAGCTTGCGTTCCTCCACGCTTCACAGAGCCCAGAGCTCTTAGAGTTCTTAAAGGGACTCCTGAAATATGTTGTGTGGGCGCTGTCTGATGTGTCAGGTGCTAGTGCTGTCTTTCTCTTTCTTTCTCTTTCTTACTCTTTACAACAGAGCAAGAAAAAGAGAGGTAGACAGAGAAAGGTTGGCTTCCTTCTTTCAGGCATCATCACCAAAGACCCTACCTGGCTTGGATTCCCTGCATTTTTATTAACCGTTGAGCTCACGATTATGTATTTCTTCATCCCCCTTTTTCCTCTGTATTTTTGGAGAGGGAGATGGGGAACAAAACAGCCGCGGAGTCTGGCAATCAAAGCCGAGCGCCCGTCAAGGCAGCCTTCAAACTGTCATCTGCCTCCTCCCCAAATTGCTTCTCTTCCTCCTCTCCTCCCCTCCCGTTACCTGGTGGGGTTCTCAGAAGCCGAGCGAATGGCAGACAATTGCCTTTGTGCATCCTGCTGTACCTGTCACCAACCCGCAATTGAGACATTAATCATTTTCCTGATTATAGCTAAAAGATTAGTTTTTCCTACCTTTGTCTTCTCTCGAGGAGGAATAGAAGAAGAAAAAAAAAATCGCTTGACACATGCTGCAGCGAAGAGATTCGGTAATGAAGTCTGGAGACGGATTCCTAAAGCGTTGCACGCCACTATCTGAGCCGATCACAAAGGCACTTCAGTTTTTTTTTCTTCTAAAACTAAGCGATCAGACGCTCCCACCAATCAGTGTCAAAGACCTCCCCAGATACCTCGGATAAGAGCGCGCTCGCAAAAAAACCAACATGAAGAACATGAACTATGGATGATAAAAGCATCTTAGCATTTAACAGAGCCACGGGCGTTTGTCTACAATCGTGCAGATCCTTATAGTTGTTCTACCTTTACCCTAATTTCCGTCTATCTCACTTTTTTTTCGTTATATAGTTACATGCGCATGCACTTAAAACAACAAAGGGCATAATTCAGAAATGGTGGGCAGTCATTACCATAAAACTTTTTATTCAATGTCAGTTCGCTGTGTCTGGTTCAGAAGATATCTTGCTGTTCATACTGTACATCACTTTTTGTGTTTAAATCGAGCAAGAAAGGTTAATGTTTAAAGGATTATATATATATATATATATATATATATATATATATATATATTCTATTTAGCAACCATTCAAAACCTGTATTACTTTCTTCTGTGCAACATAAAAATGTGGAATACAATGGAAGTTGTTTTTGGACTCCACTGACTTTCATTGTATGGACAAAAACAGTTGACGATATCTTTTTCGTGTTCCACAGAGGGAAAGAAACTCAAACAGGTTCGAAACAACATCAGGATGAGTAAATGATGACAGACTTTTCATTTTTGGCTGAACTATCCCTTTAAGGCATTTGTACCCGTTTTCACTGACCCGAGTAACTCGAGACAGATTTTAGCCAGAGAGCACCATCTCTATGCAACTCTTTGTCCCAGAGATAGAGAGATGAGGGGAGAGAGATGTTTGGATTCATTAGTTTAGGCGGGAAGAACTGTGCTTTGTGCTGAGTCATGTGTCAGTTCTTGGAAGAACCTGAAACCAATTATTTCAGTGAGACAGAAAAGGATCCCAATTATTTCCACAGCCAAATACCTGCAGCTACTGCAGCCTGGTCATAGAAGGACAGAAGAGGAACTCAAATGTTATTAGTGTGGTGCAGGCCCTGAAGTACAGCTAAAAACACATTTGCTTTTGACCCACTCAATATCTGCATTTCCTTCTGCTTACAGCAGGTGTTATTTAAAATACAATTAAAACCTGCTAATTAAATCCATCCATGTGGAAAGCTATATTGCCCCCCCACCCCGGTTAGAAAACTGGTAGCTTGATGTGGGCGGAAGTGAAGAAACAAACTGGTACAGCTAGACAAAATGTGACAAAATGTGAAAACAGCCAGTGTGTGTCAAGCCAGTTTGAAACAGATGGCGTCCAGAGGCTGTGAAAGGCTCTTCCAGGCTGTGCCAGGCTGGTGGTGCCCACAGCATCTGTCTCTGACATGGCACTGCCACGGAAGGACAGAGAAACACACACACACATGGTTCAATCGCATTAGACCCTTATTTTGTCCTGCTTAGCTGGGCAGCAACCTTCAGAATGGCTTTTCAATTCAATAACACAAAGGTTGCAGGTTCAGTGTTTAGTAGGAGTGGTGTATGAACTGGAGAACTGCTGGAACAGTCCTCTGCTGTCATCACTGGAGTAAGTAATAATTTAGCGCTCACTTTAATCCTGAGTAACAGAACACTTACTACAGCGACAATATCCCTGAAGCAATCTGGTTTAAGTGTCTTGCTCAAGGGCACAATGATGATAGTTCATGGATCTTGTGGGGCTCAAACCTGCAACCTTCAACCATATCATCCCATATATAGATATGCATGTTCAAATGTTTGGGGTCGGTAAGATTTTTAATGTTTTTGAAAGAAGTCTCGAACGCTCACCGAGGCTGCATTTATTTGAGAAAAAAAAAATACTATGAAATAATATTAGCTTTTAAAATAACTCTCTTCTATTTTAATTTTTTATTCATGTGGTGGCAAAGCTGAATTTTCAGCATCATTACTCCAGTCTTCAGTGTCACATGATCCTTCAGAAATCATAATATGCAGATTTGCTGCTCAAGAAACATTTCTTATTATGATCAATGTTGAAAAAAGCGCTGTTTAATATTTTTGTGGAAATCCTGTTACATTATTTTCAGGATTCTTTGATGAGTAGAAAGTTCAAAGGAATAACATTTCTTTGAAATGGACATATTTTCCTGCCACTTTTGATCAATATAATGCATCCTTGCCGAATAAAAGTATTCATTTATTTTTTAAAGATCTTACTGACCACAAACTTATGAATATATTCCCAATATAAATGTAGCATTTCTTTTTCAAAATATTTTTGTTAATTTTGTACATATAACATATTTAATATAACATATTGTTTTTTTTTTATTTAATCGAAAAGTCTTTTATAATGTTTATATTAGAAGAGGTGTCGTGTCATTTATCTACATTCAGTGACTCTCGCCTCTTGCTCTTTAGCTCAGTTTTTCAACAGTTTGACTAGATCTGCATTTCCAGCGCGCCCTCTCGGTTACCTCACGTGTGGTGCTGTGGTGTGTGTAATGGGATTACAGGTTTTGATGACAGTGTGACTTTAGAGTTATTGAATCCCATTCATTTTTAACCAGATCCAGCCCCTCTGAGCTGCAAGAGAGCTTCTGTTATCATGCAAACACGGTGCGTAATGTGAAGTGCCTACAGAAAGAGACCCGTGCTCACGGAGGCGACGTCGAATGTTGTTCAAACCTACACGCTGTTCAGCTGCCATGAAAGTTGTAATTTTGGAAGCATGTTTTCTTTTTAAGTTTTCTTTCCTGACTTTAAATAAGCATAGTAAGTCAGTCCTTATAGATGCTTGACATTTTGCTGTATTTGAGGAACACCAGAACCAGAGGTTGCAGTTTCAGAAAGATTTTTAATGTAAATACACTTTCAGAGGGACAAACCATCCACAAATCCCCATGTCCACAACCAGAGGCTGTGTTTTGCGGCTTTTTAAAAAAAAAATTTTACTCAGACTGTCAATTCATTCTGAGAATTTGGCCTTTTTTCATAATAGTGTTTACTAGTAATGGCACTGGCCTAGAGAGCAATAATCACTGACAAGAACACCATTTCAATCTCAGAATTGACAAATATCACTTATTATACACTCCTCGAGGGCCGAGTGAAGAGCAAAGGAATGAGGAACCAAAAGCTACGGAATGAGATGCACCCTCAATCTCACCAAAATCAAGTTTGTGTGGTCAAAATGAGTTAGTATGGATTGCGGCTCTGGCTGCGAGGAGGCGAGATGCGAGGAGGAGGTGTGGTGCTCGCCGGTCCTGCCGTGCTTTGAAGATATTTAGCTCTAATTAAGTTTCTCCCCTGAGAGTCGGAGAGAAGAAAGAAATGAGATGAAAACCTCCCGGCACAGTCAGAGTTTCACAGCAATCAATTTTGTTGTTGGAGCGTCATTGCTGCTCTCTGCTACTCCGAGGGAACGGCTCGGCGTCTGTGAGTGCGCCCGTCAAGTGTGACTGCTGATGTTTATGCAGTACAGATCACGGTTGTTGCATACTTGAGGTACGAGAGTGCTACAGTTTGCATCATTTCAGCTCAACAATGAAATTACATTGAATCTGAGGCCTCGCGGTTAGCGATACATTGAGCTGCGCTGCTTGTATTGCAAGTTCCGAAACTTCTGACAAAAACGTCCCCTAAATCCCCCAAAGAATATTTAGCAGAGCATAATAAATGATACAAAAAGAAATTACAGAAAATTACCTTTTTTTGTTGTTGCATTATTTCAATCCAATAAAGGACATTCCCCTCCGATTTTTCATTACTTTGTTGTTATTATTACTTGTACTGATTTTTAGATTCTCAGAATCTAATTATTGTTGTACAGTATTTTTTTTAAACTTAAATAATAGCATAAATTAATGTTAATTAAAAACAAATATCACTATGATGTACTTTGCAGTTTTAATAATAATGGGAAAATTGTCAAATAAATAATAAAATAATAATTTCACAATGCAACAAATCCAAATGGTTCTAAAACATGCTGCTTTTTCTTTAAGAAAAAATATGAGAACTTTGTTTTTCAAGCGACCTGGACATTTAGATTCGGCAGCTCATTTCTTTCATGAAGTACAGACACTCACATGATGTGGCGAGATTCGATCAGAAGAGTGTAATTTACACTTTTAATGTTTTCTCTCTGAGTTTGTTTCTGATTTTTTTCATTTAAAAGGTAGTCTTTCCTTTGTTCTCCAGCTCCGTTGTTGTCTAACAAAAGGAAATGCATCTGCGGTCTTTTCAGTTCAGTAAAACACTTGAAAACAGATGGTATCAAAGGGATCTTAATGGGAAAGAACTGAAGTGAGATGAAACAATGAATAACAATTACTCTCAAAAACTGGTGATGAAAATAAAGCATATTTCTCTCTGTCTCTCTCTCTCGTTTCCAGGTCTGTAAGATTCTGAACACCACGACTATGAGCTGTTTCGCTCCGTCGCTGACAGCCGAGTACAGGCCGGGTTTGGACTCGGTCAAGCACGCAGACGAGTTTGGTTTCATCTTCAATAATGTGCAGGCTCTTCTAGTGTACAACAACACTAACTTCATGTACTACCCCAACCCTTACTTTGAGCCTCTCAGCACCAATGGCATACTGGAACAGAAACCTGGCTCACCTATCATTTTAAAGGTACATCCATCCACCACACGCTTGACTCTTTGACCTCAGAGGTACAGATCAGACTGTTATTACCCATGCGTATGCAATGTATACTGAAAGTATGTGTGTGTGTATATATACACTTAAATATTTAGTAGTGTAAGCTTTTCAAACGTAACTAACCTTTCACATGTGCTGTGTGTGTGTACCAGGGTAAGAATCTGGTTCCCTTGGCCTCTGGAGTGAAGCTTAATTACACCGTTCTGATAGGAGAGACTCCCTGTTCTGTCACCGTATCTGAGTCTCAACTGCTGTGCGAGCCACCTAATCTCACCGGCCAGTACAAAATCATGGTAAATATGCATCTATATGTTCGACACATCCATCTCAAATCTTTTTTGTTTTTTTGCTTTTTTTTCTGAAATATTTTTCAATCCAGATCAAAACCTGAAATCTGATTTCTGATTTAAGCCTAGTTCACACTACATGATTTTAAAACGTCGGGCTGAACTGTGCGGTTCACACTACATGACTTGCTCTCTGTGAAATCAGGAGTGTTCAAGTTGTTGAGCTAGTTCACACCACACGACACAACGTGATTGATCCGCAACAGGAGGTAACGCACTACACGAGTTGACAACAACTCTGTCACCCAACGATTCTATCTTGTCTACAAACCACGTTTTGTCACGAAAAATCACACGATAAAACGAACCGGAAATGACGCGAAACAGCACGCGCGCCCAACGAAGAACAACACAACACGCGAACATGCCTTGCTCTGATTGGCTGTAGCTCATGACATCACGTGAGCTTGAGTCGTGCGACAGCTCTGGATATCTAGCATGCTAGATATTTTTCTGGGCTCGGCGACGCGTCTGCGAGGCGTCTGCGAGCGTCTTTGATGCGTTGTTGGCTCTTTCATACTAACATATTGGCGAGCGTTCATCGCCCGCTAATCCCCCGCGATTTGCACGCGATAACACCATGACCTGTCGGCGAGCTCAACGATTTGCAAATCGGGCTTAAATCGGGCTTAAAATCATGTAGTGTGAACTAGGCTTTATGGAAACGTGTCTCAGTACCTTTCCCATATAGTGAATTACACTATCATTCAAAAGTTTGGGGACAGTTTTTTTTTTTTTTTTTTTTAAGAAATTAGTACTAGTACTTTTATTCAGTGAAGAAGCATTAAAATGATTAAAGGAGATAGTAAATACATTTATAATGTTACAAAAATTTTTTTTTTCAAATAAATGTCCTTTTGAACTTTCTATTCATCAAATAATCCAGGATAAAAATGCATCAGTTTCCACATTAAGCAACACAAGTGTTTTCAACATTGATAATAATAAGTGTTTCTTGAGCAGCAAATCAGCATATTAGAATGATTTCTGAAGGGTCATGTGATACTGAAGACTGGAGTAATGATGCTGAAAATTCAGCTTGGCCATCACAGGAATAAATTACATTTTAAAAATATACTATATTAAAATAGAAAACCGTTATTTTGAATCATAATAATATTTCACACTATTACAGTTTTAACTTTTATTTTTGATCAAATAAATGCAGCCTTGGTTAGCATAAGAGACTTCTTTCAAAAACATTTGAAATCCAGCCCAAATATTTGAAGATAGTAAGTAGTTTTTCCATCTCTCTTTCCATAATGTCAAATTTCTGATCCTTTTTTGTTAAAGAAAACAGTCAGCAGTTATGATCAGAATTAAATAAATACATATATTTGGATTTCTGTGAACAATTCCTGATCCTTGATCCATATTTCTGATCCTTTTTTGTAAAAAAAAAAAAACAGTCAGCAGTTATGATCAGATTGAAATATATAAATATATATATTTGGATTTCTGTGAACAATTCCTGATGTGTTTTCATGTGTTTAACATGCTTGCAAGGCCCTTTAGTACGTGTTTACTAGATTTGAGACCTGTGCTGTTGAGGTGGGTGTTAAATGCCCTCATGCTCATTATTTACTATTGTTGTACCGCTGGTGGAGACGCAGGCCAGACCTTCAGCAATGCCACGGTCTTGTTGCTGTCACCAGGTTCCCTAGGAACAGAAAACCAATTACTGTTAGTGCTGCCCAAAACGTACTCAAAGCAATGTGTATGTTTTTTCTCTATTTTTGTGGGTTGAGTGGGTAAGGTATATTTTCACACTCTGTGTCTCTGCGTCCGCATCTTTATATGTGTATCTGTGTGTGCGTTTATTCTTAACTGATTCTCATGTGTATATATGTGTGTTTGTTCTCTCAGGTGCAGGTCGGTGGTCTGCATGTGTCCCCCGGTTCAGTAAACATTCTTTCTGACAGCCTCCTGACTCTTCCTGCCATTGTCAGCATCGCTGCCGGTGGCGGACTGCTTCTCATCATCGTCATCCTCGTGCTTATTGCCTACAAGCGTAAATCCCGCGAGAACGACCTCACACTCAAGCGACTCCAGATGCAAATGGACAACCTGGAGTCCAGGGTCGCGCTGGAGTGCAAGGAAGGTGAGAAAGACAAACACTTTTCACTATGTTGCTTTATGGATCATTTGTGTTTATTTGGGAGAAACCGATCTTGTTTCATTATGACCCCCAAAACGGGACTGTCATGTCCTGGATAAAACGTAATTTAGCGAGTCAGGTAATAATTCGAATTTTTCAATTAGTTTCTGACACTTGTTTATGTTTTTACGGCCTGTTTACACTTGGTATTAAGATGTGTTTTGGTAGACGTTTACACCTGGTGTTTTAATCCGTCTCTTTTGTCCACTTTCAACAACTTCTGTCCTGATTTTTTCGAGGGGAGTGTCTATGGGCGGGTAAATGTATGGGCTTTTTCAGATATTTCGATCTCATGGATGAAATAAGCTCGCACAATTTACATACAGTATGGACGTTAAAGGAGATGACGGAAAAACATACGGAAAGCAGCAGCTTTCGTTTCTTCTCTAATAGCCGCAAGCCCAGAGTGTATGTAAGAAATCAGTGTTGGTGAGGTAACTTTTGCTTAGTAAGTTTTACGTCTTCAAACCAAACTTAGGTCTTCAGCCGACAAATTTTAAATCCTGTCTGGCTAGCGCACTTCCCATAATGTTTACGCATTTGGTCAGTAGGCGGTCTTTTGTTAGCCTGGTAATACCAGACTCTGCTACTTCACTTTGCTTCGTAGACAGAGTCTGGAATGGCATAGTAGAGAAGTGTTTTCTCTCTCGCTAGGGGGCGCTTGTCTGAAGTTTAAAATCATTGGTTACCCGTAAGCCAATTAGATAAATTTATATATGACGTATGTTATGCGCCGACACAGCTGCATCGAACCACAGACATCATGCATCGAACTCAAATCTATGATCGAACTTCCACTGTAAACCTGCTGTAAACACTTGATGATGCGAGCGAAATAACGGAGTGAACATGGCTGTAAACGACTTTTGCAGATTATGCGAAGTTAATCTACGCATCCATGGTACAATCAGGGCCTCTAAACTGATATTTGACAGTAGAGAGAAACAAAAAAATATTTGCAGCCAACTGTCAAAGTTAGGATTAGTTCTGTTAAACACAGCTCTTTGTTCATCTCGAGTCTGTCGGAAATGCTGCAACTTAATTGCAAGATTACACCATGTCATGGCAATATTTAAGACCTGGAAAAGAAAGGATACACTGACCTGTCAAAAGGCTCCCCAGTTTCTCACTGACGATCGGTAATAGTTGATAAATTAAACTTTTCCCAAAGGGAGTAGGGCCACAACATCACCTCCATTCAAAATGTTTAATACACACTCTTCTTGTTCTTCAGTTTGCTAATGCCGGGAATATTCTCCACAACAGAGCGAATTGCATCCGCGTCTTTCGATTTCCCTGACCTAATCTTAAACTCAGCGCTTAGCGACTACGTCACGGCTTTCAGCCCGCCCTCTGTTTGTTGATTGGCCGGCTGTTTTCAGGCCGGAGGAAAACGGATAGATAGGCCGCTGTCTCAGACTGAGTACAGAAGCGAAATGAAATTGAGCGGAAGTACGAAGTCTGACGTAGTCAGGCTAGTCTTTTGTGGTTCTTTGAACGCATTTAACCACATGAGCGTTTACACTACACAAGCAATCCGGTCGAATGTGTTTTCGACTACCACTGGAAGTGGTCAAAAGTGGACAAGCTCAAAACATTTTAGACCCTGTTTACACCTGTATTTAGTGCCGTCCACTTGTGATCGGATTGACCAAAATGCATCTGAATACCAGGTGTACACAGGGCCTTAGAGATGGCTTGTCTCTTTTTATAAAATGTTTATTAATTTAATTTAATATTTATATTAAGGACAAACAGTCATTTAAATGAATATATATATGTATATAATATAATATATACACTCAAGAAATATAGCACATTACATTTGTGTTTGAGTTTTCATGATGTCATATTCTTATTAATCAGATTTAGTCATAGAATGATGCAACACACATCATCGTCTGAGGGTTCCAGGAGGCTGACAGATAAAACAGTTTCTTACACACAATTCAGACAAAAGAGTGTCCCTGACCCATGGTTAGCGGGGCTGAGAGGATGTAGTTTGTGTTGACTGACTCTAGAGCCGCAAGGAATAAAAGATGCAGAAGTATTAAAGGGGCAGATTGAGCCCTGCACTCCACGAACGCCTGCAAAAGAGTGAGTTTAAAAGGAGAGAAAGGCATAGAGAGAGAACGCCGGACCAAGATGAAGAGAGGAAGGACAGGTGAGAGGAGACAAACAGAGTGAATCAGAAAGAACGTTCCAGAAAGGAGAAATAAGGAAACGTGTGGGGAGAGAGAAAGAGAGATAGATAACTCCTTCAGGGAAGAGAGCTGCCCCAGGCTCTGTCAGAATGGACCCAATTAAAGACATCCCACCTCCAGTCTCCACCAGCAGGGGACAAGCACTTCAGCAGCCTGCAATTTACTCTGTTTGTGTGAGTGAGAACACCATAAATAGAGAGAAGCTGAGAGGTTATTTTGGTTTGCTCTCTTCGTCTGCCCGCAACAACCTTCAGGAACTTCGTAAAAACCTCAAACTGGACAAAACAAAGTCTTCAGAGATGTTGATTAGAACAGAAGTTCAGGTTTTGGCATGCGTTTTGGACCTTTTATGTGGCGTGTGGCTTCAAAACCAAAACTCAAGGAATGTTCATAAATCATCCAAAATAATTATATTTTGCATTAAGAAAATTAGTCATATTTTAGGACTTTTTTATTATATTTTTTGGTTACGAATTAAAAACAATTTCGCTAACACTTTACAATAAGGTTCATTAGTTAACTAAGAAGATAGTTAACACAAACTAAGAATGAATAAGACTTCTCCAGCATTTATTAATCTTAGTTAATATTAATTTCAACATTTACTAATACATTATTAAAATCATAGGCTGTATTTGTTAACATTAGTTAATGCACTGTCAACTAACATGAACAAACACTAAACAGCTGTATTTGTATTAACTAAATACTGTACTGTAAATGTATTGCTCATGGTTAGTTCATGTTAGTTAATACATTAACTAATGTTAACTAAAGAACCTTATTGTAAAGAGTTACCACAATTTCCTTGCTCAATTCTCATTACTGTGTAATGCTTACTGATCTTTTAATTTTGAGGGTAAAATAGTATGCGATAATATTAATAATACCAATTAATGTTAGTGGTGATTTTCATATAATAGTCTTTTTTTAATAAATCAAAATAAATATATTGTTCATACATTTCAATGAAGTTCTTATCATATTAAATTAAAGTATAGTATAACATCAAATACTACCATGATGTAATTTACATTTTTGTATTACAGTAAAAATAATTTGATAAGAATGTTAATAATGACTATAATGTCACAATCCCAAAAATAGGCTTAATTTTCATTAAGCAAAATCAAATTTTGTTTCTATAGATTTTGTGGTTAAAAATGACCTGGACATTAAACTGTGAATTACTGTGTATTGAAAATTGTCTCTTTTTTTTTTCTCCTTCCCTTTTTGTTTTCAGCTTTTGCAGAACTGCAGACCGATATCAATGAGTTGACGAGTGATCTGGACCGGGCTGGTATTCCCTATCTGGATTACCGCACCTATGCCATGAGAGTGCTATTCCCTGGCATCGAGGACCATCCTGTGCTCAGAGAGCTGGAGGTGGGCTGCGGTTTACTTTATTTAATGAACACTTTTCTCTAACAAATTGTCCAAAATGTAACCAGGTGCAATATGGGTGCACACTTTGGTGCCATGTGACACAATCATAGCCAATCTTACTGGATGTTGAATAAGCAGTTGTATGGGGCTACCCAGCTCAATTCCATATAGATAGAAACCAATCCACCATCAAAATGTCATTTCTGATCAGGACATGGTATAGTTTACATGTGATCTTTTTATATAAATGATGTATTTAAGGAATTTAGTTAATTGACAGTCTAGTTCATTGACAAAGATGTTGTGTGTTGCAGGTCTCTGGTAATGGGCAGCTATGTGTTGAAAAAGCTCTGAAGCTGTTTGGCCAGCTGATAAACAACAAGGTGTTTTTGTTGACGTTCATCCGTACGCTGGAAATGCAGCGCTCCTTCTCCATGCGCGACCGTGGCAATGTGGCGTCGCTCATAATGACGGCTCTCCAGGGTCGACTGGAATACGCCACAGATGTGCTCAAACACCTGCTCTCCGACCTCATCGACAAGAACCTGGAGAGCAAGAACCACCCCAAACTACTACTCAGGAGGTTTGCTGTTTACTTCATGTTTGCATTTAAAAAAAAAAATTTTTTATTACTTTGTAGTTTTTGATTTTACCTGTGTCATATAGCTGTTTGTGCATGTAAACAATCAAAGTCCACCCCAAAGGGAGTGAATCTCTCCAGCAAAAAAACACCTGCCATGAACACCTCTTTTGTAGTCCTGACATTTTTTTCCGTGGCATGTATACACTCACCTAAAGGATTATTAGGAACACCTGTTCAATTTCTCATTAATGCACTTATCTAATCAACCAATCACATGGCAGTTGCTTCAATGCATTTAGGGGTGTGGTCCTGGTCAAGACAATCTCCTGAACTCCAAACTGAATGTCAGAATGGGAAAGAAAGGTGATTTAAGCAATTTTGAGTGTGGCATGGTTGTTGGTGCCAGACGGGCCGGTCTGAGTATTTCACAATCTGCTCAGTTACTGGGATTTTCACGCACAACCATTTCTAGGGTTTACAAAGAATGGTGTGAAAAAGGGAAAAACATCCAGTGTGCGGCAGTCCTGTGGGCGAAAATGCCTTGTTGATGCTAGAGGTCAGAGGAGAATGGGCCGACTGATTCAAGCTGATAGAAGAGCAACTTTGACTGAAATAACCACTCGTTACAACCGAGGTATGCAGCAAAGCATTTGTGAAGCCACAACATGCACAACCTTGAGGCGGATGGGCTACAACAGCAGAAGACCCCACCGGATACCACTCATCTCCACTACAAATAGGAAAAAGAGGCTACAATTTGCAAGAGCTCACCAAAATTGGACAGTTGAAGACTGGAAAAATGTTGCCTGGTCTGATGAGTCTCGATTTCTGTTGAGACATTCAGATGGTAGAGTCAGAATTTGGCGTAAACAGAATGAGAACATGGATCCATCATGCCTTGTTACCACTGTGCAGGCTGGTGGTGGTGGTGTAATGGTGTGGGGGATGTTTTCTTGGCACACTTTAGGCCCCTTAGTGCCAATTGGACATTTTAAATTTAAATGCCACGGCCTACCTGAGCATTGTTTCTGACCATGTCCATCCCTTTATGGCCACCATGTACCCATCCTCTGATGGCTACTTCCAGCAGGATAATGCACCATGTCACAAAGCTCGAATCATTTCAAATTGGTTTCTTGAACATGACAATGAGTTCACTGTACTAAAATGGCCCCCACAGTCACCAGATCTCAACCCAATAGAGCATCTTTGGGATGTGGTGGAACGGGAGCTTCGTGCCCTGGATGTGCATCCCACAAATCTCCATCAACTGCAAGATGCTATCCTATCAATATGGGCCAACATTTCTAAAGAATGCTTTCAGCACCTTGTTGAATCAATGCCACGTAGAATTAAGGCAGTTCTGAAGGCGAAAGGGGGTCAAACACAGTATTAGTATGGTGTTCCTAATAATCCTTTAGGTGAGTGTATGTCACCATGTAAACTTTGCATAATGCCCACCTGCTGGCTAGTTTGGCTCACTTTTAAACATTGGTCATTATAAAGCCAGTGTAACAGACGTAGGCCAGTAAGCGCGTGTAAACCTCACTCCCCTGGTCTCAAGAGGCATGCTAGCTACCGGCGCTAGCGGCTTCGGTCTGGTCCCGCTTCCCACACCGGAGACCCAGGTTCAAATCCCACTCGAAGCAGGTCATGTAGAATGGGTTACATTTGGTGCTGTCAACCAAATGGGAGTGAGGTTTAGGGGGGTTAGGCTAGTAAGAGTTGTGCATGTAAACCTCACTCCCCTGTCCTCAAGAGACACACGCTAGTGGCTGCGGTCTTTAGTGTCCTTGTTAGCGTGCCCTCCTCCCACGCCAGAGACCCAGAGTAGGACCGGTTACACCAGAAAGAGTTTATCACCATGTTGAGAAAATGCAGTTTTTTTCACTGTGAGAGCAAAACATCATTGCATGGACTTTTTTAACACTATTAAAAAAAAAAAATGTTTAACACTATTTCTCAGCAGTAAAAACGTAACCTTTTCTTGTGCTCTCACCATTTTTCTAGCAACTGGTTTCTGAATCATGCAGTCCGATGCAGGTCGGTGTGTTGATGGAGAAATGACACAGTTATAACATCACATAAATAAAAATATATAAAAAATCACCACTGTGAAAAGTCCTGCACAAGTCGTGCTTACGGAGGTAGTTCGGGTTGATCAGCTTGTTCTTCTTGACTGTCATTAAGAACTGATACAGCAAAAGTGACACCATAGTTACAGTAGTTTTTACAACGGCTCAGGAAGCCTTGGGACTCACCTGTTATGGTAAGGGTCGTTACATTTCCGACACGTCTAAGCGGTAGACCAATCACAACAGACTGAGGCCAGCTGACCAATCAGAGCAGACTTCGCTTTCAGGAAGGTGGGTTTTAAAGAAACCAAAACTAAAACAATATAAATTCTAAGACTTTTTTTTTTTTTTTACATGAAATCATGTCAACATATTCAGACCCCACAAACAAAATTTTAAACCTGTAAATAAGTAAATTACTAACTGATCTTAAAGTGTTGCGCTGGTATCTTAGTCTAGCATTATAGCTATATTGACTCATGATCTATTAGTCTGCTTCCCTCCAGTCTCTCAGTACGGCCCAACTGTCAGTGTCACTTTTCATTTGTGTGCCAGGTACTCATAAAACATTCATGAGCAGCTCAAATCCACTTGTTTTTTCCTCTCTCGCGCTCTCGGCTGTCCTTTATGCTTTCCCTCTAAATTTGTATAGGTTTTTCAAAATCTTTCCAAAGCAGCGTATCAACTAGAAGATTTAGACTAATAATGATTAAACAAAGAGTTGCCCGAGGGCTAACACACAGCACAGTCCGCGGCTGATTTCATTACGCTCCACTTGATGGAGGCCGAGTGTGTTTTAGTGTTGCTGGAGGTGATTTGTTCCTGCTGACTGCGGCATTATATCAGCTATACATCACACTTTGAATATTCAAAGCAGACAGGCCAAACAAACACCGCAGCCGTTCCTCGTTCGCGCTCTCTCGCTCGTATTGAATGATTTTTGCTGTTTCGTTACGTGACTCAGCTCATTAATAGTCACAGTAAATAGATGCAGGGGGAATGTGGATTACGCCGTTATTTAACGTGACAGACGGCGCGTCTCTCTCATTATCTGCTGTCGTTAGGAACACAAAACACTAATCCCGCCGCGCTGGCAGGCTGGGCCATGGGGATCAGGGGCCCGTGGTTTTAGATGACACTTTTTCCTTTTTTTTCTATTAGAATTTAGGAGATTATTGATTCATCATGCTCCATTTGGTCTCGTTCGCAGCTTCTTGTCTTCACTTTTACACGAAGCATCTGGAAAACAAGAAAGCTGTTTTATAAACCCTACAAATCCGTCTCTTCCTGTTGTGTTTTCATTTATTTACTGTTTCCTCCCTTTTCTACTATCACTTTCGGCCACGCAGTCTCCTGTCGGTGTTACGGTTAAACGAACACTGCTTTTTCTGCGACTACTGCTGGTCTCCACTCCCTCCACATCGATTGGGCTCCATCTCACTAATTTTCTTCTCTGTTCCTTTAATAAAAGGCATTACTCTCTCTCTCTCTCTCTCTCGTTCTCATTTTCTCTCCATCTCAAGCATTTTGATTTCAATTGATCCGTGTGGACAAACCCTGCCCTTCTTGTGACCTCTTTCTGTGTCTGCTCCTCATCTTAACATTTCTCGGATAATGGAATACATCTGGAGCCTGTCCCACCTCAGTGAGCGATGCATTCGCTGGTGTTCCAGGAGGCTTCTGAAGAGTGATTTCATGTTGTACAGATACATTTAGTGAAGAATTATGGCACAATTTGTTTTTTAAAAGCCATTTTTTAGGGTGTGATGACCATGCACTGTAAAAAGTGATCAGTTGACTTTCTTCAAAAAAAGTGTAAATAGTTTAAAAAAAAAAAAAGTAATGTGGAATTCTCAAGTTCACATGACTTTTTTTTCAGTTAAGCAGTACATTTCTTTACTTAATAAATTTAAGGCAACGGGTTCACTTAAAATTTTTAAGTAAGTGAACTCAACTCTTTTTACATGATGTGTGACCTTTGACCTTTACCCATAATTCCATATACGTATATATGTACAGTGTGTGTGTGTGTGCATGTATATGTATGTACTGCATATATAACAAGCTTTTTCCATCCACATGCACCAAGGCTCAACATACCATACAACACAAACCGCTAGCCACAGCTCCCGCTCCCTTTTGCTGGTTTAATAAAGAACAAAGATCCACAAGTATAGTCGTCTTCGAGCTGACAATCATAACGAGTGAACTACTTTTATGGTGTGCAATCCTTCTACATTTTCTTGATGTAGGAACAAAGGACATTCATGTGTGTTAAGGAAAATAATGAATGTCAAAGATGCCTGTAGGGCAGTTGCTTGCAAATGAGACATCTTTTAAGAATCAGACAATATCAACAGAGAGACTAATTTATTTTCATAAAGTGACCCACTTGCATTTAATGATAACCGACTGTGAAAAATAACAAGGCCCTGTCTGGTCTCTGCTGTCATCAGAGTGGCTGTACGTTTCATTTCAAATAGCCTAAAGCATAGTTGGCATTAATATTTCCTTGTCTATTATTTTTTTTAATCTTTATTTGATTATGGAAGATATGGAGACACTTACAAGACTCCGGCTTGTTCTGGGCTTCTGTTTCCATTAGGATCAGCAGGGAATGTGATTGTTTTCAGCACAGACTGATTCATCATTTCAGGGGGAAAGCCATAATAAATCAAATCTCTGTCGCGCAGTGTGTAAAAAGATTTCCGTTGGCTTTTTGCTACTCTTCATTGACAGAGACATTAGAGAAAGGACAGAAAAATGCATTGGAGAAAGATAATAAATGTGGGATTAGGTTGTGGCTGGATTCGAACCTGCATCTCCTGAAACTTAGCTACATCTCAATATATCTAGTCCATGGTTTGTGTTGTGTGTTTTTTTTTTTTTTTTTTTGCTCTGTTTTGTTTTGTCCCATTGTCTCATTGATTCCTCACTTCTACCTTGATCTCTGTCTGAAGTGTCCTATTTGTTTTTAATATAATGGCCAGAAGCTGTTTGTGGTGTGTTACAGAGTTAGTGTAGTATATTTTTTGGTCCTTTTTCGAACTTTTTTTGTCACCCACAAGAGCATCATGGCTCAGTTGATCGGTGCTAAACACTAGGCCACAGCTCTTACTTCACTGAACTTTTGAGTTTTCTTTTTGTCTTTCTCTCCCTCATGTTAATATCTGTGGAGGACTGTGGCTAAAAATGGAACAGCTCCATCGCCTCCGGCTCTCTCTTGCTGCTGTTTGTGTGTGTGTACATGTTTTCACCTAATGAGATTTGCAGGCAGCCAGAGCCACTCGGAATGGACTATTAGTGAGACACATTGTGTTTTGTGTCGCCCCTTCAATGAAGCATTCCTTTACCCCCCTTGAGACACACACAACACGCACACATACACACACACGCAACTCATAAACACACTAATAGCTAATAAAACCCATAAACACACTAATAGCTAATAAAACCCTCATGTTCATTAATGAAACTGTTAAAAAAGAAAGCAAGCAAAAAAAGAAATCTAAAAATGCTGAAGAAAGAGGGAAAGCTTTTTTTTATGAGCAGACAGAGACAGAATTACAAAAAAGCCTGGTGTGATGAAGTTTTAGAGAATGCAAAAACTCATTTAGGTGCTTAAATAGCTAATATTTACAGTTTATTCATTCTCTCAGTCGGAGGTAGCCAGTGTGTTTGTGCTTCCTGGTGAAAGAAAATAGTGATTTGGTAGCAAAAGATTTCCTTTAAAGCATCAAATTGTCAATGAAGAGATTTGGGAAATTGACTTATGTGGGTCTGAAATATATATTTGAAGTCACATTTAGATATTGACTCTGAGCCCCTGCAATATGAAATATGTCAGTGCACCAGGAGAGTGCCCAATTCCTGTGTGCATTTGAAAATGTCGGGCCAATTTTCCATTCATTTTGCTTGTTAGGACTCAATTTCCAGCCATTTGTGAAACTGGTTTATGAGAAGCACAAAACCGAATGACTCTAATAAACTAGTTTCACCAGGATACTGCAATTTGAAAGGGGGCAAATTTAGTTCAGTAACTGGTTATTTAGGTTGTATATGTAGGGGTTTTTTTTCACCTCCCTCATCATCTATCATTGATCGCTGATTGACTGAGACAGGAAAAAGACAGGAAACATTCTTGCAAAACCTGATGCAACCAGCTTCAATCGCACTGTCATTGTAGTGTATGTGTGTGTCAGATCGCATAACTCATCATACTGACACACACACACACACACTCACTCACTGAATGAGTGTCACATATTGTATGAATGCACTCATCAATGCACAAATACACACAGGTTCCTCTTGCTCCTGCATCCAAAGTCCCCCAGCTCCCTCAGACCCAGAGAAAAACAGGTAGAATACAAAGGAGAGTTGACAGGCTTAAAAGAGAATATATAAACATAACCATGTTTTGTATAGACCGCCACACACGCTGCTGAATAAAACACACAAACACGCTCTGTCCTTTAAAAGAATCACACAGATAGGCGCTCTCGTCTCAAACATGACGACTTTCCTTAATTTCACTCCATCTTGCATCACTCATCTATTTGCCCATCTCTATTCTCTCTCATTTCATCTGTGTGTGAGACTGCCATTTATTTATTCACTAAACCTTATTCACTAAAATGCACCATTATTAAATGAGTATAATTTGGCGGCCTCGTTATTCGACAGCCATGTGTTCTTTCAGTAAAATTAGCATTTATCATCCACTAATGCATTAACAGATGAGTGAATACAAAAAAAAAACAAATGCTGCATAATGCAAATCACATCATCTTTATGTTAATGGACTCTTAACTTCTGAATATACAAACTCGAAACCCCTCAGTGCACTAATAACTTGTTTTTTTAAAGCAGTCCATCCACTCAGTGGCCATCATGACTGTTTTCTAGTAGCTTCTGTCTACTTGAATGTGTAAAATCTCCAAATCTGTCTGTTACGCTAACGGAAATGACAAAATTGGTCCCCACCAACCAGTAGTTTATCTCAGCGACCATCTTTAGGGAAAACGCAGTATGCATGTTTGCATTTCGTCTGCACTGTTTTAAAATGGTTGGTTATTTTATGTGCATATGATTTAGATAAATACTGATAAACAACTGAACACAAGAATGTGTTTTTAAACTAGTTAGTTGGATTTTTCAGCAGGGATTTGTCATTTCCCATGGTGAAGACGAATCGCAAGTGGCGTCTCATTAATATCTCAGAAAGCAATGACATTACATAGAGAGCAAATGGAGACTCTTGCTTATACGTCTTCTGCTTCTCAGAGAAAAAGACCCCATAAACTCTTGTATTTCTGCTACAGTTTCAGAAATCTCAATAACAGCTCACAATGTGTTCAGATTTTTCAAGATAGCAAAGTTTGTAATGATAAATCAACTATCTCAATATGAACTTAAGCGTTTCTCATCAGATTCCTCAGGAACTTTATAGCATTACACTCATACAGTATGTCAACAATTGTCTAATGTATTTCTACTTTTATTTCTTCTGAAGAATTTTAGGGAAAACGTCTAAGACAAAGTTAGTACTTAAATAAGAAGGTATTTTGAGTTGTGAAAAAGCAATATATGAGCAATAAAAATGTTCAGCAAATTCTTATGTGCATTCTAGAGCAAAAAAGACCAATAAGCTGATTGGCTCTTTTAATAGGAGGGCGGGGTTTGTTTTGTTCCTCTTTATACTGTCTCTGGTACACTAATCACTCCCTTTTGTGTAACACCATACACAAGCGTTCAAAAGTTTGCCATTAGTAAGTAAATTGGAAAGAAATTAAAGCTTATTCAGCAAGGATGTGTTAAATTGATCAAAAGTGACAGTAAAGACATTTGTAACTTTACAAAAGATTTAAATTTCAAAATAAATGCCGTTTCTTTTTTTTAACTTCTATCTTAAAAGAAATGCATCACGGTTTCAAAAATATGAACAACTATTACAACTATTTTCAACATCGAAAGGTAAGATACTGAGTAGAATGATTTCTGAAGGATCATGTGACACTGCAAGACTGGAGTAATGATGCTGAAAATTCAGCTTTGCTATCACACAAATGAGAAAATATATGAAATAAACAATTAATAATATTTCACAATATTACTGTTTTAGCTATTTTTGATCAAATAAACGCAGCTGAGCATAAGGGACTTCTTTCAAAAACTGTCTAAAGTCCTCTGGTCACATGAATATGCAGCGATTACAGTTTACCACCGTCATCTTGTCTCACTGATCAGCGCTCGCTCTCACGTGTGACCCTGAAGCGTGACCCCCCTCGAACAGAATACACACACGTGCGTACGCCCAAACACACCTACACTCTCCCACACTCTGTGTTTGCGAGCTGTCTCAGCGGTGTAATCATAGTTATTTCCACATGCATTAAGAGAGTCATTTTCTGGCCCTGCTGTTGAGTAAATTGCCGGTGTGCTCCACGGCGGCCCAACGGAGTGCGAGCGCATAACGTCCCAGACATCGGCGCCACAATTACGCAGCTGATATTACATCGTCCGGTGATGCTCATGAGTGTTTGTAATGCCCATAAGTGAACATAATACTCACTGCCACAAACACCCGAGCCAGATAGAGACAGAAAGTATTTTCTGGGGTGAAAGAAGGAATGTTTTGCAGGCAAAGAGAGAGATTGGTATTCCACAGGCGCGCTTAGCCGTCAGAACGAGGGAATAACCCTTTCATGTATTTTTCATGCTCGTTAACCACTCCCGTCGGGGTGCTGTTTGTTCTCTCTTCCTCTGTCTGCCTTATCTTTCCCCCTCTCTCTCTCTCTCTCTCTCTCTCTCTCTCTCTCTCTCTCTCTCTCTTCAGTTTTCCACCTGCTCTGTATTCAACAAACCCTCGGCTCTTCCTTTTTGTCTCTCCCCAAATTATTGCCCACAACTCTAGAGATCCCCGTTTGAGTCGTGTGTTTGTCGTTTGTGGGTTTGTGTCTGTCTCCTGCCTCAAAGCATCAAAAAAAAAGAAGGAAAGAGACAGGGGGTGGTCAGAGGAAAAAAAACTGATATATGGACACAAAGAGTCTGGAGTGATTGACAGGGAAGGAAGCTAGCAATGTTTTTCTCACTTTCTGTTTTCCTCTTATCAAAACGCAGCCGTTATTAAAGGAAAAATTAAAATGCGCTGGTATTCTTTGAGATAAGTGTCAACTTGTGTTTTTCAGGACGGAGTCTGTAGCTGAGAAGATGCTAACCAACTGGTTTGCTTTCCTGCTTCATAAGTTCCTGAAGGTAACTAGCCTCTTTGACTTCCTGTATAAGTACTAGTCTCATGTAGACAGACTTTTGACTCTCAGCATGAGGTCTGGTTCACTCTGCAGCTTATTCGGGCTCAGAGACGCATAATTAGACAGGAATCAGCCGTCATGTCATGATCAACTAGAGTTTGTATGTTTGTTGGAGATCATTCAAATAATTGGAGTCTCTACAAACAGTCATATGAGAAATATCAAAGACATTAATGTGTGTAGACTTTATGGTCAGACTTTAGATGTTTAGCATTCAGTTGTGCTTCAGGCTGTTTACTTGCTGCTGCTAAGTGCCTTGAACTAAAATATCTTGTTATATCTTTCCATGAATGGGGCAAATCCAGTGAGTAGTTAGGCAGTAGTAAGGCTTATTTTAGTAACCTGGGAACGTAAACACAAATTTGCTTCACATAAAGTCGATTGGAAATTGCATAAAGCCAACCAATCAGATTGTAAGAAAGCTTTTTACTTTTTACTTTTTTTTGGGTCCAAAATAGATCAGGTGATCTGCAAGTTAAAGTGACTGACTTAAAAGTGAAAAACACTTAAAACAGTAGTCTGCTACATGTTGTGACAAGGCCTTATTAGATTGGCCACATGACCTCATTATGTAAATATTAAATTCTGTAAATTATATAATTTCAGTAATAATGTAGTTATTTTTAGCTTTTTTTGTGTATGTAAAATGCCTTAAAGGGTTAGACCACCCACAAATGTCAATTCTGTCATCGTTTTCTCACCTTCATGTCGTTCCAAATCCGTAAGACTTTTGTTCATCTTCAGAACACAAATGAAGATATTTTTTATGAAAGATTTCTGTCCCTTCATTGACAGTCTACTCAACTACCACTTTGACGCATAAAAAGGTTCATAAAGAGATCATAAAACGAATCAATATAAAGTGAGAGGTTAAGTCCAATTTTTCTGATGGGACACGATCGCTTTATATGATGAACAGATTTAATTTCGGCTTTTATTCACATATCAACATTCATCAACTCACACATCAGTTGTGGTAAATGGAAGTACCAGCATGCTTGCTTGACATGCAAGAACCAATGAGGTTCATTCTGTTACGCAGCACATTTGAGCTTTTGCAAGAAATCTTTTGTAACACTGTAAATGTATTTGCTGTCACTTTTGATCAATGTAGTGCATATTTGCTGAATATAAGTGTTAAAATCTTTTTTTTTTAAACAAACACCAAACTTTTGAACGCTAGTGTACATACTATATACTACAGACATAGTACAAACCTTAGACAAGTCAGTGTGATTCCAGTTGTGATAAAGTAATAATAATAATGTGTGTTTGGTGTCTGTGTCTACAGGAGTGTGCAGGCGAGCCTCTCTTCATGCTGTACTGTGCTATAAAACAGCAGATGGAAAAAGGTCCTATAGACGCCATCACCGGAGAGGCCCGATACTCCCTCAGCGAAGACAAACTCATCCGGCAACAGATCGACTACAAGACGCTGGTCAGCATCACACTAATAAACATAGTATCTAATAAACTCTTATGAAGGTCAGTGCTGTTACTGTATGTGTGTATGAAAGCAGGCAGTCTGGCCTAGGGAGGGTAGTGTTCATTAGTCTCTCATACCCTGCTAAGGCTGAGATTGGGGTCCTGCAGAGGGTGTGAAATTAGATTTCTCGGGCCAGGAAATGGCCTTTTCCAGAGCCCCGCTCTGCACCTACGGTTTCACCGACCACTGCCTAACATCTTATCATCCTCATCCTCTTTTTTTTCCCCCCCTCCAGATCTTAAACTGCGTCAACCCAGAGAATGAGAACAGCCCAGAGATCCCGGTCAAGGTTCTGAACTGTGACACCATCACGCAGGTCAAAGAAAAAATCCTGGATGCCGTGTATAAGAACATGCCGTATTCACAGAGACCCAAAGCTGTGGACATGGACCTGGGTGAGTTAAACTGCCTTGCGCACAGCATAGCAGGATTGAGTTTGATTTTGCTTTTATACAACAGGTCCATATTTAAGATTTGAATTTAAAGTAACTAATATTTAGATAGTATTTTAAATATATAGATATTTTTAGTTATTTTGTCTATTTGTGTTGCACCAAAAATACAATTCCATATGAAACCACAGCTGGAAAAAAAAACTGTTTTTGAATGAATTATTGAGTGAATGAATAAGTTGTTTCAGAGACTGTCATAAAAAACTGTCACTTGTTTTGTTCCTTAATTTATTCGTGTTTTGAAGGAATAAGTTGACTGAATGATTACTCAGTCATTAAGAGTCACTTACTTCATTCCTGAAGTAATCTGTTTTTTTGTTCAAATATTTTAAGTGAATGATTCAATGATTCACTCATAAAGACTGTCACCTGATTCATTCCTTAACAAATTGGTGCTTTTGAACAAATGGTTTGAGTGAATAATTGAATGACTAACTAGCTGTAAAGACAAAGGGCCTGTCTAAATAACCACACTTGGGGTCTTGGCCATTTGAGGGTGTGTGCACGCAACAGGAAGTGCGCAAGACTTGTCCCAGGTCTGAAAAATGGCAAAGTGCAATACACTTAACACACACTTTGTCCACACTATCTCTAATAGTGCCAGCGTTTTTAAGGAATCAGTTGGCTGAAAGAGTCACTTGTTTATTTCCTGAATGAATCAGTGCTTTTGAACAAATAGTTTGAGTGATTTAAGGACTGACTTGCAGTATAAATACAATCACTTGTTTTGTTCCTGAGTAAATTGGAGCTTTTGAAAGAATAATTTGAATGAATGATTCAATGACTCATTCATAAGAAAAAAGTCACATATCACCTATTACTAGTGTAACAATAGTACCTGCAGAAAGATCACTAAAAATTCTCAGCACTTTGGACTGAATATCAGTGATCTTGGCCATTCAGATTTGAGGGCAAGAATTAATTAACTTTTATTTTAATTTTTTTTATTTTAATTAATTTTTACTTTAATTGATACATTTCAATACAGAATGACCTCACATTTTTTTTCAGAAATGTAAACTAATTTTAATTTTATGTTGTCTGTAATGTATAAAAAGTGATGGAAATGTACAATATTTGTGCACATACACAAGCAGGTGCATATGTGACCCAGGTAAAAGCTGACAGACGGCACTGACAGACTGACTCCACATTTTATTTCTGGCACACAAACGGCCATCTCACACACACACACCCTACACAAAAGCCCCCTGTCAGCGGTGCAAATCATCCTTCCAGCACCTTGGCCAGAGCAATCTCCTCCATGATGATGTTCTGTCTCTGTAGCTGCAGAACTGGCATTGCTTTTGTGTGTGTGTGTGTGTGTGTTGCACGCGCATGCATGTACGTGCGTGTGTGTGTGTGTGTGTGTGTGTGTGTGTGTGTGTGTGTGTCATCATCTGTGCATTTGGCAACCACGTAAACTAATAAACCCCATTCAACAGAGGAGAAAATCAATGATCACTCTCGCTCTGAGCCTGTCTATATCCTATCAGCTCTCTCTTTAGCATTTAATTATACCCTACTGCGTGTGCACACACACATTTCTAACCCATGTGAAAAGACACATTCAATGCTTTGAATCAAATCAATCTGCTTTGAGCTGGGGGAGGTTCACTGTGTCTGTTTTAATGGCAAATGTTTGATTTTTCAGAGTGGCGTCAGGGACGAATGGCCCGAGTGGTCCTGCAGGATGAAGACATCACCACTAAGATTGAAAATGATTGGAAGAGACTCAACACTCTCATGCACTATCAGGTACAAACGAGGACACACACGCTCATATATAATCTGATGGTGCCCTCTTCTGTCTATGTGAGTAGACATTAAAGGGGATGTATCATGGACTTTCTTTGCTCTATTGATAAAAAAACAATTTGATGTACAAATATGTAGACATACTCATCCGTTCTCGATACAAAGCTCCCTCCCAAGTGCAAAAAGAGCAAAAATAGTTTTAATCAGCAAATTAAATAAGATATATTAGGGCCTGTTTTCAAAGAATTTTTATATATATGCCTGAAAACGAGTGAATATCTTGTGAATTTTACTCAGTTCAATTTATTTGGTTTTATGGATGTTCAGATAGTTTTAACTGGAAAGGGAGATAAAAACACTGATTAAGAAAACCATTTTTGGATTGAATTTATTGAAACTAAACTGCAAAATAAATAGGTCATTCAATTGCTATGGTGTTGATGTCACAATTGTGAGCATAGTACCATATTCCTGCTTATGTTTATACATTAATCAGTGTTAAACAATTTGGTCATTGTTACTCATTTCAAATGCAAAGTGGTTAATCATGATAGAGGTAAATTATGGCACCTTGAAAGCATCAGGAATATTTAAGAAAAACATATCAACAAGGACAATGCGCTACAAAAGTAATCCTCTGTATATCAATTTAACTCCTCAGACATGAAACAATTAAGCTGAACCAAACAAACATTTCCTTTATCTCCCAGTGCTCCGAAATGTCTCGCTGTGAGTGTTCGGCTCCAGGGAGACAGACGGCTGATCTCTCTCTGAATCACACTACACAGGACAGTATAATAGAGGACAATTATTGAGCTCTGCGACTGAAAATTTTAAGTGTGGCGGCTGTGAAAGTGCTTGTGTGTGTGTGTGAGAGAGAGAGAGAGAGAGAGAGAGAGAGAGAGAGAGAGAGAGAGAGAGAGAGAGAGAGAGAGGTTGTCCTTTACCTTCAGTGGATTAATTACAGCCTTTACCTTGTCTTTACTTCAGACACCACAGAGACAGCACACGTCAGAGCAGGTACCTGATAACAGTGTTAGAGAGAGAGAGAGAGAGAGAGAGAGAGAGAGAGAGAGAGAGAGAGTGTGTGTCCAGAGTCATATTCTCATAATTACTTCTGAAAAAGCTCATCATATGTGCTGTTACAATGTGAGATATGAGGATGATGAGGTAGACGTGAAGAGAGAACACAGAAAAAAAAAAGAAGTGTCATTTCTAGAGTGTTCCACACTGCCTTTACAAAAGTTTACCATGGTAACCAAATTGTATTCTTACTACAGTGATTTTTGTTTTGTTTTTTCAATCAAAATTTTTGAAAGATCTCATATTATCATTTACACATATATACATATATAGAGTAACAGAAAGTAGACCATTGGACTTAAGAGTGGAGTAAGGTCTATTTTAAGAGAAGAGACAGTATAATCACTAGCTTTATTAGGAACACCTCGCTATGACCCTCGGAACTGCCTTATTGCTTTGTGGCATAAATTCAACAAAGTACTGGAAACATTCCTCAGAGATTTTAGTCCATATTGACATGACAGCATCACGCGGTTGCTGCAAATCTCCCATTTCACCACAGTAATGAGATGGTGACCAAATGTAGACCTTTTAATAAGTCTCTATGAAAGAGCAACATCTGAGCAATGCAATTTATGCCATTTTGTGTGCCAGTGTGTAAGTAAATAACAAGATGTTTTGCTTAGGGAGCTGTATACTAACCATTTGCTATATTAACTCTTACTGTTTCCACAGGGACCAGTGAAATAGAGAGTTTAGAGAAAGAAGAGAAAACAGAAGGCAGAGAGCTTTAGAGAATGCCACATTAAAATACAGGACTCCTACGCTTTCCACACAAGCACCCTCACCTCTCTCCTGAAATACTACGGATATGCTAATCCCAGCCATTCGCTGAGTTCCTCAATAGAGTAAGGGCATATTTTAAGAGAGCAGACAGTATAATCAGCAGCTGTGTCCCCAAGGCCGTAACCAGGGTTTGAAAATTAGTGAGGTCCGGGGTGTTGTGTAAAGAATTTTGCTATAATAATGGTTTGGCCATTGGAACCACATTTCCCAATGGACATTAAGCTGTGACCCTTTTTTTTTATGGAATTTGGCATATATATATATATATATATATATACAGGGGTTAAATTTGGATTTAATTATGTGTGGGGTAGTCTCTCACTAGGGGGGTCCGAGGGTTTGCCCCCCCGGGATTTTTTTTGTGAAAAATAAACCAAAATGGCACTTTCTGGAGAGTTTTGTGCAAAGAAAAAGTAGGTCTAGCAAGTTCAACGCAATCTCACGACCAATTCGTCCGAATTTGACGAGTGATTAAAAGATGGCTAATTCGTACGAATTCGTACGACCTCATTCGTACGAATTTGTACGATTTGTCTAAACCCACGTGATGGGTAGGTTTAGGGGCGGGGTCAGGGTCATTCGTACGAATTCATACGAATTGGGCAACTCGTCAAATATGTACGTTTTAGCAAAAATCGTACTAATTCGTACGAGTGAGGTCGTACGAACTGTTACGAATTAGCCATCTTTTAATCACTCGTCAAATTCGGACGAAATTCACACAGATCAAACACAAATATGCTGACTGAATAGATTGCTAGTTGAGAAACACTGCTTTAATTAATGTTTTTATGATGGCTTTGTGAAAGGTTAACTAAACAGCATGAGCCGTCTTCCAGCTGGCCAGTAAGTTATTTGGCAAATTTCATTCTGTAGGCTAACATACAGATCTGTTTTATGCTATTGTTTTTGATAGTGTTATACATTTCTTACAGATAATCGATTGTCATTGCGTTTGTCTTACCGAATGTGGTAGCTTTATGCAATTACAGTTTGTCTATAAGCTTCTTTTTTTTTAAATGTATTAATGCCGACAGTTAAATGTTGCCAGATATTGCTACGAAAAACAAGCAAAACAAAATAATAATAATAATCCGAAATAAGTTCAAAGCTTGTGTTTTGGAAATAAGGTTAATATATCACTAAACCTTCCCACATTAATAACTTCCTAAAGTGTCACATTAAATCAGAAAAACAGGTGACTACTGCCACCTTTCTATTAGGTGGATCTGGCAACACGGAGGCTGCACCTGCGTTCACAACGCGCTCTCAAGCCCCGTTCAGTTCACTGCGCCAGCTTCTCGCAGCAACATGAATTGCAAACACTCATATGAGGTGGTTTAAACACTGCTAATTAATCATTCAGAGAGCTTGACATTTTATTTTTGAATGTAAAAAAAATGACCGAGGTCCGGACCTCGGTGACCTCATAGCTGGCTACGGCCATGTGTGTCCCTGTAACGTTTCGTGCTGTGGCTTCATAAACCTGTGGTCACCATGTTCTTTTCTGATTGCTCATTTTGATTGCGCAGGGTTGATTAGAGCACTAGCCATGAAAAAGTTTCCATCAGTCTGAATGCTTGCGTGGACGTATTTCTCTAGGCTCGGCTTCTTCTCCCACTCTCTCTCTCTCTTTCTTCTTTTTCTCACTCATCCACTCTTACTTGAAATCAGTGAGCGTCTTGACCTTGCAAAGGCTGAATGACATTACAGGAGACTGGCAGCGTGTCCCTGACGGGCCACTGTACTCCTCAAATTTCCAATTTAAATAGTTGGAGCAGCATGAGAGACACTGGCATTAACAATTCAAATAAACAGAGGCCTCTGTTAATGTGTGCATTATTATCACCTGTATCTCACAGGAATGTCACAGTGGCAGAGAAATATTTTCAATGAGGCGTTTGACTAGGATTGTGTGTAAAAACTAAACAAGTTGTTCTTCGGGAACCCAGCTGAAAAAAAAAACTGCGTACATCAGTCTCAACTGGATTAGTGGACTTAAAGGTGGTCTATTGTGCAAAATTCACTTTGACAGATATATTGTTTTTTAACATAATTGTTGGTCCGGAGCGTGTAAACACAACCGCCCTATTATGGGGGGGGAAAAATTGATGATTTTCCCCACAAATCAGAAATGTTATGTCTCAAACCGAGCCATTCAGAAATCCATTCAGCATCCATTGTGACGTCACAGTGAAACAGGCCCCGCCCACAACTGGTGACGGAATCTGCCCTGTTAATCTCAAATGATATTATAACCTCTTTAGACAAAAAAAAAGTCATGTGCTGCGCTATTCGTTGATCTATCAAAGGCTTTCGATTCTGTAGATCACAAATTACTGTTACAGAGACTCAAGTTTATAGGCCTTAGTGAAGCGGCTCTAAATTGGTTTGAAAACTACCTCACAGAACGCACTCAGTGAGTGTCAGTGGAAAATTATAATTCACCTTTCCTTCAAGTAAATATCGGGGTTCCTCAAGGTTCTGTTTTAGCCCCTCTTTTATTTTCTATTTTTATCAATGATTTAGGTCATGGAATAGATTCAGCTAAATTACACTTATATGCAGACGATACAATTATTTACACAACAGCATCTTCTTTAAATCAAGCTTTGCAGCAATTGCAGAATGATTTTCAAGTGCTGCAGCGCTCATTGTCGCAGTTAAAATTAGTCTTAAACTCAAAAAAGACAAAATACATAATTTTTAGTCGAGGTCGTTCTAAGGAAACTGAAATGTCAATTAAAACTTTAAATAGTACACTTTTAGAAAGAGTTAGTTCCTACAAGTACCTAGGTGTATGGTTGGACGAAAGATTAGCATTTGACATACATATTGATAGGTTGTTGAAGAAGCTTAGGCCAAGATTAGGTTTCTTCTATCGCTTAAATAATTGTTTTCCATATGAGGCCCGAAAGAAAATAGTGGAGAGTACATTTTTATCTGTTATTGATTACGGTGATCTTTTATACATGCACGCAGCTACTTCACTACTTAGGAAATTAGACACTGTGTATCATGCTGCTTTACGCTTTGTTGCTGGTGCAGAGTCAGGGACGCATCATTGTATTTTGTATGATACTTTAGCTTGGTCATCTTTGCATCAAAGGAGAAAGCTACATATGTATTTATTTATTGTAAAAGCTCTTTTAGGTAAATTACCTTCTTATATATCAAGTCTTTTAATTTATTATACAAATAGTTACCACACCAGGTCTGGCTCTTATATTCGGCTAAAAGTCCCAAGGGTATTGTCAGAATCTGGCAAAGGTGCTTTTTCTTTTTATGCTCCTTGGGCTTGGAATGAGTTGCAAAATGTACTTAAGTTAGATGCACTTCCAACTCTGACCACTTTTAAACGTCTCTTGCATACTGCTTTGAAGGAGACTTGTAATTGTCTTTCTTGATTCGATTTTATCTGCTTTGTTCAGAAACATGTTAAATGTGGAATTGTTATACTGTGATTCTGTGTGAAACTAAATGTGCTGCCGTCTTGACCAGGTCTCTCTGGAAGAAGAGATAGTGATATCTCAATGTGATTCTCCTGGATAAATAAAGGAAATAATAATAATAATAATAATAAATAATAATTAGCTTAGCTCCACCCCTGAGTGAGCTGTACACAGTCTGCCATGTTTATCTGAAGGATGAGCTGTAAAGACACCCCTTTTCAGGGGGCAGGAAGCAGCAGCTCATTTGCTTTGTTGGCTCTAAAAGAAAATAAATAAACATCTCTGTTGTATATTATTGTATAAGGTGCTTGGCGTAGATCACTGCCGGGGGTTAAGCTGTCTTTTCGAGTGCTGACAAAACTCAAGGACTTACAGTCTGACATACGACCCTGTTTATATAACTGCTCGTCACATTTATTTTAGACATACAATGAAGATGTACATTATAGTGTATATTAACTGTTAAATTCCCTTGGATTTTCCTTTATACTATGCCTATATGTCCCTCAATGCATTCATCATGTGGATTATGATGCTTTCATCCATTTCACCTATTAAACGCCCATCATTCTGCTGTGTTTATCATGTGGCAAAGGCGTTTCATGCTCTTTGTGCTAGCGTGACCGAGCCTGCCGTATTTCAAAGAAGAGTCAGAATGGCAGACACATCACCGCATCCTTCCCCACCGCCTGGATGCAGCGTCTGAGTTAAAGGCGCGTTAGCTTGCCGATCGCCATCAGATAGAGCGCAGGCAGGGGGATCAGAGATACATGAGGGAAAGGGGTCAGCTGTCTGCTTGATGCAAACGTTATCATGAGGAAAGCTCACTCCTTATCACTCTCACACCCACCGGCGGCCCGCCCGCCTGGCTGAGGATTATCCCTCAAGGGCGAATGCTTCTCCCCTCCATCATTCAGGCTCCGTACGGCCACCACATACACCGCAGAGACACGCTGTGAGAGAAGAAGAGTAGATTGTGCATGAGGCTAGGTGGTGTGGAGCCAAAAATATGTTACAAATCCAAATGCCCGAAATAGTGTTTATAATTTATCATTTCTTTTTTATAGACAATGACTAATATTTGATGCTTACTAGCCATACCAGTTCCACGACTCCTGGTCAGGGGAACAGAAACTCTGGAGGGAGAATTTGAGCCATGAAAAAGACATCTGTGAGTGTCAACCTACTCGGCCACCTCTCTGAGGTGATTCGTCCACAGTCCTGGACTCTTTCAAGTGTCTCTCCAGTCAGGCTATTAGCCCGCTCTGCAGTAAGGGTTGGCCGAGGAGAAACCTGCACTAATAGGGCTGGAGCTTATGGGGGCGTGTGGGGGCTAAAGTAACCCCATCATCAGCTGTGAGAGTGTAGGGAGGTGAGTGAAGACTAACTACCCTCAGCCTTCAGCGGAGCTCAGGAGGTCCTTAAAGTCTCCATTATGGTGCACAGAGAGGTTTTCTGAAATAAAATGGACTCGAAATTTGATGTTTTATGTTGACGGGGGATCTTAGATTGTGGCACTTGACCTAGTTCACTAGTCTAGTATCTGAAAGACCTTCTGGTAACACTTCCTTTTACAGTCCTGTTACCCATGTACTTACTATGTACTTATTATAGTAATTATAATTACTGGGTAATAACTAGGTACTAACCCTGAACCTACCCCTAACCCATGTACTTTCCATATATTAGCCAGTACTTTCTAGGTAAGTACACTGTAAGTACATGTAAGTACTGTACTGTAAAAGGAAGCGTTACCGACCTTCTTTGGTTTATAGAGGAGGTTGTTGACCTATTTTCAGTAGCTTTTGTTAAACGAATGCAATCCAATGGAAAGTTGTGTTCGCCACAGAATAAAACTATTTAAAAGATAATTGCAATTTTTTAATCTCACGATTCTGAATTGCGAGTTTACATCTTGCAATTCTGACTTTTTTCCCTCAGAATTGTGAGATATAAACAATCTACAGTCCAATTCTGAGGGAGTGAAAAAGACTGACTTTTTTCTCAGAATTAAACATTTAATTCAATCGCAATTGCGAGTTTAAAAGTCAGAATTGTGAGAAGTCAAATTTGTGAGAAAAATATACTACATAAAATATTGTTTTATACTGTAGAGACCAAGATAAGCACCTCAAAAGCTGATAGTATGAGATTCGGCCAGGATTTTGCCAGTTTGCTTTCAGGAAGTTGCTTTCTTGTGCTGAATTGAGGTTGAGTCAGTTGTCTTTGTGAGGGTAGACCTCATTTCCTCTGCAGCTCTTGACAGTTCAGATTAATACAGAAGATCAGATGGAACTCGAGCACTCACAGAGCAGACAGAGAGAAATGGAGAGTTTCACCCCAATATATAAAAGTCCCGGACCTCATCTTTCCTCATCCTTTCTACTTTCCCGTCTCAAAATGACTCAGTCGCTACATTCCCTAGCCTGTCAAACTCTTCCTTTTGACCTGTCTTTGTGTTTCCATTTTTATCATTTCCCTCCATTCTAGATTTTAGTTTATCTCTCTGTCTCTCTCTCTCCATCTGTGTGAATGAATCCCTCTGAAGCCATGTTACTTATGGTGTAGGTTATTTTTGTTTTTTATTATTATTTCTATATTACGCTTTTTTTCTGCTAGCTAAAATGATGCCTTTTAAATTTGAATGTAAATCAAATACTAGTAATATTTAAGTAAAAAACATTTAATTTAGCTTTTCAGCCATTTTGACAGACTAGTTTCTTGTCTAATCAATCTAGTCCTTTTTCTGAGCAAAGCACAAGAGCCGAAACTCTGATTTTACCTGAGAAAGGCTTTAATGCGCATTTGATCAGAGAACACAGCATGAACACCCCTTATACAGTATATTTATAAGTAGAACAGATCTTTTTGAAGCGCTTTAACGTCGATTTATTTAAGCACTGGAGAGAAACTGAACAATTTCACACCGTTTTTGAAAAGCAATAAATATGTACTGAGAATCTTTTCGGAATTAAATATATTTTTGCAGAAGTAATATCAACTCCTCAAAGGCAGAATAAAACGGCATTAGTTGTGCTCCACTATCTTGAACATTACTTGATAATAAAAGGCTGTGAAACCAAACACTGTGAAATAAGAATTAAGGGAAAAGGAAAGAGGCTTGACATGGACGTTGTGTTTCTTGTACAGGTATCAGACCGCTGTGTGGTTGCTTTGGTGCCCAAGCAGACGTCCTCCTACAACATTCCTCCCACAACTAGCATCTCTCGGACTTCTATCAGTAGATATGGTGAGTATGTTTGTCTCGTGATGATGTTGATGATGCTGCTGCTGCACAATTCACTGGGATTGAGAAAAGGCCTGTAATTATCAGTTTAGCTAATTAGAAGTTTGAAGTTTGTTCACTGTTTCACAATATAGAGGTAAATACATGGTTGAAGACTGGCTTTAAATGAAGCCTCTGATTATTGTGCGCACGAGCCACGTGCAGTCATTTTGCTTTGCAGCCAGCAGGATGCCCAAGGGAGCCTTCGGGGCACCAGAGAATGAGAGTGAGAGCCAAAGAGCATGCCAGGGAGGGTAAGAGGAAGTCAGAGAGAGAGGTGTTAGCAGTTAACATGAAGCTCAGTAATGCTGATTTCTCCGCTGAGTTTGGATGCCGCCCGTAATGGACACATTAGCTCCTTCCCCATAGCGTTGCTTTGAGGGAGTGCCACAGGGCTCCCCATCTGGCCCGTTCTCATTTTCCATCACACTGAGCTGCAGGCCACTCTCTGATTGCTAATTATGCACCGCCGATGATACTTCACACGGGCGAAAAAACTCAAATGACACGCAGCCAAATACCAGGGCCAGCGATGAAATGGAGCCCCTTGTGCATTGTCACCTAGCAACCCTGCCAAACTGTGCACACAAACATCTCACCTGGCTTCAATTCACTAGAAATCAATTCAATTCACCACATGAAACACGGCCCGTATCAGCGTATTACACGACTCTGTTAATCAAAGCTTGAGGATGTTTCTCGCATCTGTGCAGTTTAATGAAAGAGTGTAATTATCTTCTCTTATCACTTGTAAACATAATGACATTTAAAGTTCAGCGAACACTTCAAACGTCCAAAGACGCAACAAGCAACCTGAGAAATATTCTATAAAGCTATCTTTATTTCTCAGCCATGCTCTCCGTTAACCAACAAACCTCAATCTTTTTGTATCCTCCCCCTGAATTAGGTAGTTAACAGTTATTTTAGGGTTACGTTTGGCACTTTGATCTATTTTATTTTTATAGCGTGTATATTTTAGGAAACTCATCAAGTGGGAATGAGATGGCACAGCACAGTTTTTGTCTGGAGCATAAAAAGCAGCTATCTCATCTGACAGAGCCCTGGTGCCCATCAATCACACCATGGCACAGCGGGCACAGCTGTGCACAGGCACCTGCTGATTGATTCATATCAATTTAATGCTCAACACTTAGCAGCTCGGCTCAATTTAGCATGCCAGCAACCCCGGCCCAAAACAACACACTGCTCACACACCTCTGACTGGCGGAAGAGAGCGACAAACATGAAAAACATGCAACATATGCACACAACAGTTTATGTTAGAATGTGATCAAGCACCCTTCCCATAATTGTTTTTTACTGCATGATATGTGTGTGTATGTGTATATGTATATATATATATATACACTACCGTTCAAAAATTTGGGGTCAGTGAGAATTTTATTTTTATTTTTTGGAGGAAAGAAATCAATACTTTTATTTATCAAGGAATAATTAATTTGATCGAAAGTGACAGTAAAGAGATTTATGTTACAAAAGTCTTTTGAACTTCCTATTCATCAAAGAATCCAAAAAAAAAAAAAAAAACTGTACAACTGACAGACCAACAACTGTTTCAACATTGATAATAATAATAAATGTTTCTTGAGCATCAAATCCTCATATTATACTGATTTGTGAAGGATCATTTGACACTGAAGACACTGACACTGGTGATGCTGAAAATTCAGCTTTGATCACAGGAATAAATTACACTTTACTATATATTCACACAGAAAACAGCTGATTTACACTGGAATAATATTTAATACTATAACTGATTTTTGTTGTATTTTTAATCAAATAAGCGCAGCCATGGTTAGCAGAAGAGAATTCTTTTAAAAGTATTTAAAATCGTACCGACCCCAAACTTTTGAACGGTAGTGTATATATATGTGTATATATATATATATATATATATATATATATATATATATATATATATATATACTTATTTTATCATATATATACTTATTTTATCATATAAGAATCCATCCCATAATTCACTAATCCCTCTGATTAATTCAAACTTGTTAGACTCATTAAAAGTAAATAACTGGTCATTAAATACCATACTATTTTTGTAATAAAAAAAAAATATTATTATAAAAATGCCATTATATTATATTATATTATTATTTAAAAAACTATTTTGTGACTATGTATATTTACACATTATCATATAAACATCCAGTCCGTAAGCTTTAATTCAGTAACCACCCTGATGAATTTGCAGAGTAATTTGGTAAAACATAATTATAAGATAAAGAAATAAATGTTACACAAAAAGTAGAAATTATGACATAAAAAGTCATTAAAAATATAATTATAAAATTAAAAAGTCAAAATTGACAAAATGTCACAATTATGACAGTTTTGACTTTTTGTCAAAATTATTACTTTCTCATCACATTTTGACATCATACTTATGACTATTATCTCATAATTATATCTTAGTAGCTTAAAATTTTAATAATGACAACTTTTTATGTCATAATTGTGATTTACCAAAGCATGATGGTGAAATGGGATTCCACACTTTTTGACTAAAGCAGTGGTCCCCAACCTTTTTTGTGCCACGGACCGGTTTAATATCAGACAATATTTTCACGGACCGGCCTTTAAGGTGTGGCGGATAAATACAACAAAATAAAATGATACGACCGGCATAAAAACTGGGGTATTTTTTGGTAAACGTGAATCCAATGTGTAAGCCTACTCGCAACTTTATTAGCAGCGTCCTCGTAACATCGCGCCAACAACATAACATGAGTAACATCCTCTCTGCCCCCTATAAGGCGACATTCACATATAGCGCCTAAAAACGTGTAGAAAACGCTAGGCGCACCACGTTCTCCTTTTTCCAAAGCGCAAGGGAGGTTGCGCTCCAGAGGCGTCTGTCGTTGCTAAGCAACCATCAGCTGCGCTCTCCGTTACAGCAAGGAAATTTCAGCAATGGATTTCCACCACCGAAAAACCCTTGCTGTAACTCTGTTACAAGATTAATTTACTAAGAAGAGTAAAAAAATACAGCAGTGTTTGGGTGCACCCGATACTACAAAAACGCAAAAACCATGGGGAATTTCACCAGCTGATTCAGGAGCTCCGCCTGGACAATGGGAGGTTCAAAGCCTATTTCAGAGTGGACAATGACCAGATTGATTATATTTTAAGAAAAGTTGGCCCAAGCATCAGTAAACAGAGCTTCTGCCGTGAAACTATCTCTCTTGCGCAACGGCTCTGCATTTGTCTGAGGTTAGACTATAACTGAAGTGGTCATAAAACGCCAGAAATAGCAAACATACACATTTATATATAGAATATAGAACAATTCTGTATAAACAATGATGGATTTAACAAGGAATCAGTTGTGAGCATTAATATTTTTAGTAAAAATATTTTTTACTAGTAGGGCCTAACTAGTGCAGCAGTTTACAGTGTTGAAGACGATTGGTTGGTTCTTGTCACGTGACCTACGGTGCGCTTGCGGCATTCTGAAAAGTTGAGATGTTTTTATCTCGATGCGGCGCGGACTCGCTTGGAAAAAACGAGCGCGTCGCTTCCATTATGAGCGCGCCTACATTTGAAATAACGAACTTGAGCGCGCAAAAGACGCGATATGTGAACAGGTAAATGTGTGAATAAATAAAACGGAAATAATGTAAGTTATTTACCCGGGGGTTGGGGACCCCTGGACTAAAGAACCAAATCACAAGAATCATTTTTTTTTTGTGAATCAGAACTACACTAAAAGTGCTGTTTAAGTCAAGATAGTCCAATTTTCAGTAATGAATACACTCACATAGTCTAGTAGTAATCTCTCAATGTCAATACTGTGGCAACAGCCAAAAGGACTAAGTTTGCAGTAGCTTTAGGTGGATTGAACCTGCAATCCTCTTCTTCCTGTTACCCCTGCTGCTAACACCACCATTTCTCCTGAATTCTCCCTTGTGACGCCGGCCTGCTCAAAATTCCACTTCTGTCTCAAAATAGCCGAGGCTATTTGCCTTCCTTCGCTGTTTCAAATGCCCTTTGAAGCCAGGTGATGAGGACAGAGAGAGAGAGACTTTGAAAGGACACAAAAGAATATACCACCATTGTGAGTTCGCCGATCCAACCTCCCAAGAGAGCACTCAACCACTGCAAAAAAAATCCGCCACACATCTAATTGGAGAAGTGAGTAAGAGACTGATTATTTAACATGCGAGGATGGAAGAGAAAAGGAGATGAGATGGATGAGCGGGGAGCTTAACTCATTAGAAATCTTTAGATGCATTGATTAGGTCCTGCGATGCAGACGTTTAAAGCGTGTGTGCAGCACAATGAATCAGGACCAGCCAATTATGAAGCCTTTGAAGTGGAGGCCAGAGAGCGTCGACTCATCTCTCTTGGTCTTGAATGAATACAGAGATGAATCTTCTACAGAGAGAAAGTGAGGAGGAAAGAGATACACAGGGTTAGACAGAGAACATGAAATGTGAGAGGGCCGCGCTCTTTCTATTCATTCCGAAGAATGACAATGTGGAAGAATGGTGGTGTAAGAAGATCATAATCCTCTTTCTATCTCTCTCTCTCTCTCTATTACCGCAGACTCAACATTCCGGTACACCGGAAGTCCGGACAGCCTGCGTTCTCGTGCTCCTATGATCACCCCGGACCTAGAGAGCGGAGTCAAAGTCTGGCACCTGGTGAAGAACCATGAGCACGGAGACCAAAAGGAGGGCGACCGCGGCAGCAAGATGGTATCTGAGATCTACCTCACCCGCCTGCTGGCTACTAAGGTAACCTCACATTTTGTGGTGAATTATTTTTTTTTAATTAACACCCAGCAACCTGCCAAAATCAACCATGTTCTGCCTGAATACTTGATTCCGATTGGCTGGAAGGTGTGCAATAAAACCGCTTAATGCACAGGTAGTTTCAAGTCAGTTTAATCACTATTCTGATACTCGATTATGACTTCATCTCTGTGTCTGATTGATGATATACAGTATATATATATATATATATATATATTAGGGGTGTAACAGTACATGTATTCGTATTGAACCGTTTCGGTTCGAGGCTTCCGGTTCGGTACGCATACAAACCGAACGATTCCTTGGACCATTTTTCCTGCCGACAAAATCCGCGCTGGCGCGACCACCACAACGTTGCGCAACATCAAATGGCAAGCGTAATGAAAGCGGAACGAAACTGCGCTACTCATTATGTGCTTCACGGATCGTTTATCAGTTCGGACCAGCAACATCTGTGCAGCGCGAGCCGATCTCGATCAAGCGACACTGTTATAACACAGCGCTAAGAGATCCAGTAAAGAAAACATTTGAATTCGCCACTGAAGTAATAACATCGCTGCGAGATCTAGTGAGAAGCATTCAAATTTCTCCGTTATTAACCGTAGATCTCTATTAGATCAAACAGCGCTGACGTGGAAACCAGGAGAAACATTGTGCCGTGAATGATCTAGTAATACTTTACGTCCACAGACCAGCAACATTCACCATGGATTTAATGTAGTAACACTAACTGTAACCAGTTTGGCTGGAATAGTGAAATGCTTTCAAGTACTTCACACATCTTTTTCCAGCACTTCAAAACTCAAATAATATATAAATAAATATATATTTAAATGTTATTTTTAATGTGACGACCAAAACATTATTTGTTCATCCTTCAAAGATGACCCCCATTTATAAACCTGAAAGTTTCAAGATGTAGAAAAACTCAGTTATTTAAAAATATTTTTTCTTTTAACAAATAGGAAATTTCTCTGGCATTTCTTTCTTTTTGCTGTTTCGAAAACGTACCGAACCGTGACTTTAAAACTGTACCGAACCGTGATTTTTGTGTACCGTTACACACCCCTAATATATATATATATATATATATATATATATATGATCTGCTAGGCTACATACTCTAATGTTCACAATGAAAATGGTCATGAAGAACTAAATTACAACTGGTTTTGATGCTGACATTATAGGTGGACTTCAAGTTCAAAACAAGTATATTTCTACCAAAGTGTACAATATGGTTCCTTTAATGTTCAATGGTCACTTGCTTTTGTCTTTTAGGGTACGCTGCAGAAATTTGTGGATGACCTGTTCGAGACTCTTTTCAGTACAGTGCACAGAGGCAGCGCGCTTCCTTTAGCTATCAAATACATGTTCGACTTCCTGGATGAACAAGCGGACAAGCACAGCATCCATGACACTGATGTTCGCCACACCTGGAAAAGCAACTGGTGAGAGGAAAACCCTCATACACACAACCTAATCTTCAGAACTAAAAACGAAAGTTGTTTTTTCCCAGTGTCTGCAATGCAAAGTAATGTTACATTCTCTTTCTATTTTTGTTTGTTTATCTTCACAGCCTTCCTCTGCGCTTCTGGGTGAATGTGATCAAGAATCCCCAGTTTGTTTTTGACATCCATAAGAGCAGCATCACGGATGCGTGTCTGTCTGTGGTGGCTCAAACCTTCATGGACTCGTGTTCCACATCTGAACACAGATTGGGCAAAGACTCGCCCTCTAATAAGCTGCTTTATGCTAAAGATATCCCCAACTACAAGAACTGGGTAGAAAGGTAAAAGTTTTTATCTTTTTCATATTACTTTTGTAACAAACTAAACCCCATTATTCTCATTGTCTTCATATAATGTTAATTCACTAGTACAAACAAGCGCCCACTCAACATTGATTTGATATTGACTATCGCCCCCTGGCTGTCTCCACAGGTACTACGCTGACATCAGCAGGCTGCCAGCCATCTCCGATCAGGACATGAATGCGTATTTGGCAGAACAGGCACGACTTCACTCCAATGAGTTTAACATGCTCAGTGCCCTCAACGAGATTTACTCCTACATTAGCAAGTACAGCGAAGAGGTGAGGCGAAACATCAGGATTCATCTTAAAACATGCCAACAACCATAATTTTCAAAACATCCTCAATGATTTATTGCCTTATATCAATGCAGACTGACTTCTTGACTCATTCTTTCTGCTCTGTATTGAAACCGACTGCTCTACTGTCTAAAGTGCCTGAACAGAGCTGAAGTGAATTATAAAATATTTATTTTGGATATGTATTTTATGGATTGATGGTTCTAGGCAAAAGAGTGTAGAATTTGTCTAGATACACGTCACAATAAAAATACACTGGAACTTCAGACTGTTACGTCGAAGCCAATGATTTTTCTCATGTCTAAAGTACTAATTTAAGTGATATTTTATTATTTATGATTATTTTATTATTTCTTCCATTTAAATCATGGAAACCACATGGTTTTGACTTAACGGGTCTGAAGTTTCAGTGGAGTAAGTTACAGTGTTTTACTGAGGTGAAGCATACAGTTGATTGGTTAGTAAACCTCGATTTAGTTGCCAAAAGATAATTATTGGAGGTCTGTACCTTAATATATATATTATACTGGTGTAGTTCCTCAGCCATAAATACTTCCTCCAGATTAATACAGCCTTATTTGTAGAATAGCATGCATTGGAACAAGAGGTGCTCTGGAAGAAGTTTCACAGAATGATGTCATCTTTAAATAGTCTCTAAAGCCAGCGGCAGCAAGCTTCAGAGTCACACACATACATACACACACACACACTTATGCACAGTGTGGGGACAGACAGGGAGCGAGAATGAATAGGCTTCTGATGAGGAAGATTACACACAGCTAGATCACTGACAGCCACTCCGACACAAAGAGCACTAGAGTAGGGCCCACGATGGAGATGTTCCAACCGTAATGGCAGCTCCACTCAGGGGACCCATTAGTCTGACCTTTACTTTACACAGCATTTAGGACAGCGCCAAGAGCCCAGAGACACAGCCTCTCCTCTCGCTCTCATGTAAATACCGCTCTTTGGTTGCAGGTCTGTTTTCTCTTGTCCTCACATTCCTTCGTAGTCTCTTTTTTTTGTGTGTGTATCCTTTTCATTCTTTTATATACTTGGTCTGTCTTTCTACAAATAGAGCAGTGATTCCCAACCAGGCATCTGTGTACATCAAGGGTTCTTGAGCAGATTACAGGCGGTACTTATAAGAGTTTGAGTTTGCTTTGTAGATTAAAATTGGATTTAAGTTTAATAACTGTAACAAATTTTAGTGGTGTCAAGATTGATATTATTTGGGCAGAAAACAATATGTGTCTGTTTTGGGGTTCAGCTATTTGTGTGAATGATGGCTGATTGTACATTATGCTGCTTATATACAGCTATTTATATAAATAAATAAATACACAAGTAATATTTATTAAATATATTTAAAGTTCATATAGTATTAAATATTATAATAAGATACTATTTATTATATACAGTATAGTATAAAAATGATTTAAAAAATACATGGACATGAATTGTTGCTTTTAAAATATTGTGTTATCTATCTTATAGATGTTAATATAGTATATATATTATTATTATTATTTTCTGCCATTCAAGTTACTTCTATTTTAATTCAAGTCTTCTATTTTTAAGTTCTTTCTGATACAGCTCTTTGCATGTCTCATCCTTTTTTTTTTTCTTTAAAGGGTTAGTTCACCCAAAAGTGAAAATTATGTCATCATTTACTCACCCTCAACCTTTTTCTTCTGCTGAACACAAAAAAATTGATATTTTGAAGAATATGTGTAACTAAACTGTTGATGGGCCCCATTGACTTCCATAGTATGGGGGGGGGGGATACTATCATGGAAGTCAATGGGTCCCATCAAATACAGGTTTGGAACAACTTGAGGGTTAGTAAATGATGACAGAAGTTTCATTTTTGGGGTGAACTAACCCTTTAACTAGGGACTCCTGAGTGTCTAGCTATCTGTCAAACATGAAATCAATGCAGAATGTCACCAATGACCTTTTCTAACTTGCATAGAATGAAGATAGAAAGACTGTATTCGATATCCCGTATAATAGAAGTTAAGTTGAAAAGAAAAGGAAAACATGTTGAGAAACACCATGAAGTAAACCATGAAGAAAAGGAAAAATAGGAAGCACAAAGCTAAGAGGAGAACATCCTTTTGTTTACCCAGCCAAATGTGTGTGGCGGGACAATCCGTACCTGCATGCAGTAATTCAGATTCATTATACAATGCGAATAGGACAACTGAAAATAATTACCTCTGTCAGCGCTCCGGAGCACTTAACCTGATGAGAGAGGGAAAGAGAGTGCTAGACAGAGAGAGGGAGAGAATATGCGCTCTCCTTAAAATGAAGGCGACTGAATCAGACACAATGATGTGGAGAGTGCTCCTGCAGCTGTGCTGAAATACATGAAAAATTCAGTGCATGCGCTCCTCGTCGAATACATGCTCACGCTGTGCACCTCTAACGGAAGCTCGGAGCGGCTGTGGAAGTGTTGACCTGCCCCGTAGCTACAGCCGCTGAGACAAACCGAGCAGGTGTGGGCCCAACTTAGCTCCGATGGCAGGTGTCCTGGGAACACTGGATGCTGATGGAAGATGAAACGGACATCTAGAGCCTCACGATCTTGTTGGTGGCTTCAAAATTTTACTTTCATGCATGAATTCTTCCAAGTTTGTTTGCCGCAGTGTGGTGAAGTGATACTAATGTAATTCCTTATTGACGGTGGGATGAAACCTAAATCCGGGCAAGAGTGGACCAAACTTAGTTTGGATGTTGAGCTGGTATAGCATAGGTTGCATTCTAAAGAGATTTATTATATATTGATAAATATCAATTTTGAATATTTTATTCGATTACAGCAAATTAAAACTAAGATTTTGAGCTGTTCCTCACATAAATACACAGACTTGCAGTGCAAGTCATATAGATCATTTTTATGGTGCTTTTTTGTCCTTGACAGCAGGGCTATTATCGTTAACTAAAACACTTTTTAAGTGTTTAAGTCCTTAAGTGAAAGTGAAATAAAATTAAGTATAAATATTAGATTAAAAATGTTGCCCTGGAAATAAACAAAATCTAAAACTGAAATTAAAAATAAATTAAAACTTAATTAATAAATTAATAAAAATGACATAATCACAGGATAAAATAAATAAAAAAGTACAAATTAAAATGAAAAAATAAAAAAAATCTAAATATCAAAATATTAATAAAAAATATAATCTTATATAAATAATACTAAGACGTCACTGCTTAACAGTCCTTGTACAGTCGACAGAAGGACAGAATTAAAACGTTTCCTTTAACCTTAGGTTATTTTATAGCACTACTTGTATAGTTTAGATAAACATGTCAGTTACGTGACATAGAATTCATAAAGTGGGAAGTAGTATTGATGTGAGATTCAGAGTCTTTGTTTACAATCTTACATTCTTTCGCAGCTACAGGAGGAGATTCCCACATACACGCACCCTCAAGCGCTCACGTCCACCATTTTAGGCATCTGAAAGATATCATTAATGAAGCCCCATCTTGGCTATCTGGAAGTGCCCATATCAATCTAATTTCCCATTATTTTCACTGTTTGATGTGCAAATGAGTGGCAGACTGCAGCCACAATGCCATTTCCCGCCGTGCTCCTCTGACACCACAGTCAGAGACTATGACATGAGCACAGAGAGGGGTCGATCCCGTCTGCACGCCCCCTCTCAACATGACTCGACATTTTTGACTGCTCTGTTTTCAAAAAACACACACAGATGGAAAATGAGAGATGGCACTCTGCAGATTGGGTCAGACTCAAGTTATACTTTCCTTTTTAATGAAATATTCATGAAATGAAGTCTCTTTGGCAATTTTTCTCTCAGAGACTGAAAATTTCTCAGTCTCATATCACAGTGAGCAGTAACTTTGTTATAATTAGATACAGAGTATTCCGTCTGAGGAAAGTGATGGTGTTTAATGGTTGCCTGGATCAGTTTAATGTTCTAGTTGCGGATGGATTCGAACGGCAGCTTTGTTCACATTAAACCATTTGTTTTTCAAATCGGATCTTTGACTGACCGCACTGTCAATTTGCAAGTGTTCATAGTCGATCTCTTTGTTTAGACAGTGTAGCCTATATCTGCCAGGAGACTCTCCTAATATCTAAACATTAAATAAGATATATTTTTATATTGTGTTGTATTATATTAAAAATATATAAATATCCTTAAAAAGATATATTTAAATAAGATTCATTTTTAATATTATATATTATATATTTTTTTAAATCTCATTTATATATTTTTTATAATATATATATATATATATATATCTTCTTTTTTTTCTCATGCTGTTTAATGATGCATTCAGTTTTGTGGCCACGCTCCCCTTCTGTCCTCGGATCACATTTATGCTTTATAAACTTTTTGATTTTCCATCTAATGTGTTCCTGCATGCGAGATCTGACCGCTCACCTGACATCTGTCGTAATGCCACAGTGATTAACACCTTCCTCTGTTCTTTTGGTAGATCACTGTTGCACTGGAACAGGACGAGACGGCAAAGAAACAGCGACTGGCCTACAAAGTGGAGCAGCTCATCGCCGCCATGTCGCTGGAGAGCTGAGAGAATGACAGAGCTGGAACGAAGGACGAAAGACTCAGTCAAACCATCATCTAAAGCCTCTCCACACGAAAGAGAGCAACTCTGGCTAGAGACACGACACCAACAATAGCTTGTGCTTTTTTTTCTACAATTTTGTGAAGAGGTCATCTTTTAAGACCAATGGACATCTATTTGATGAAAGCAAGTCACATGGCTTTCATCTTCAGGATGGGATCAGGTGTGGAAATTATGGAGTTCTGTTTTCAGTTTTTTTGCGGAACGAGCAGTTCCTGGGGTGTTGCTTTGTTTCTTTGCTTTGTTTCAGTTCATCTGGTTCGATGTGCCTAGCACAGATGCAAGACTCGGATCTGAAGAGACGCTGATTCTTCAAAAACATTTGAGGAGGATTCGACCGAAGGAAACGGACATCTACTGCCTCGCCATTACCCTCCAGTTGATGGCTTTTACTTCCAAATTTTATTTTTATACATGAGTGCTTTTTGAGTTTGTTTCATTGAGTCGGCTAGTATAATTCCTCATCTTGGTGTGGCGAAAGTTCAAGTGTCTTTCTGTCCTTGGAAAGCAGCGGCTGCTACCAACAACACGTGTGCATGTCGACACGCTAGTACACACTTTTGAGTCCCTCTGACCTAGGAGACCATGAGGCATCTGCATTGTTTGGGAGCTAATGAAACTCACAAAAAGGGGGCCAAATTTCAACCAGCATGTCCCTAACTCTCTTCAACTGACGATAAAGGACCACAAACCCAGTCTCAAACTGGACGAACTCCACTCTGCGGTCTCTCTGTGTGCATATGTTCTGTTTTCTACACGTAAGCGTATGTGAATGTACAAACGTTACTCTATTTTGTCTTCGCATTTTTGTTGCTTTTTTAAAACGGGAGTCAGTTGAGCTGATCTCTCCGGCACGACGTCCTAAAAACTGAACCTCCTTCTCCATAAGAGCGCTGCTTAGATTCAGATGCGAAAGCGGCGATGAGTAGCACCTTCAGCTCAAATCACGCGTGGAGAAACCCCACCTCCCCTTTCAAACGAATGGACTCGCTTGAGATCATCTTACCAGAGAGTATTAATTATTATGTATGGTCCAATGTGTGTGTAGTCTGCATGCATTATACAGTACCTCATATTAAAAAAAATAACGTCTCCTTTCCCATTTACTCCTATGTTCAAGTGCCAAGAGGTCACGTGAGTTGTGGATGACACAGAGGAACGCCGTTGATGTAATATACCGTGTCACTTCCTTTCTGTACACACCCGTCGGGATTAAGTGCCAAAAGATCACTTATTTACGCACTTGTCGGTTGATGCTTTATTAAGGGAACGGACCCTGTATACTGTAAAAGAAAAAAGAAAAGAAATCTCCGGTTTAGAAGTTTCATTCTCACCAATCGCAAATTCAGGTACGAAAAAGACCATGAGCTTGGAACGGTATTTGTACATATAAGAAGTATTTGTAAAATACTTAAGATGTCTGGGATCTTGATAGCTGGAGTGGGTTCTTTCCAATCTCTTTTGTTTTTTTTAGGTCTTTTATTTCCCTCCGTCAGACATGAAATATGTCAAAAGAACGCATGAACAAAAGACAACATGGCTTTCATTTATAATGCATGGTGGCAGGCAGAGCTGTTTTTGAAGATCATCCGAACCAAAACAGACAAGGTTGTTCAGGTCAGTCATCTTAGGTTCACGGAGGCATCAGGGAGAGAACTAACTTCTCCTCAGCTCAGTTTATACGGTAAAAATGCAGTATCGGATGTGAAGACATAGACTGAAACGGCTCAAATGGCGTGTGTTGTTTTTCCCCCCTGTGGCCTTAGAACATTTAATCTGTTGTTTCTAGTTGATTTAATCAGCGACGTGTCATTGTTCTCCCCGTCTGTTAGCTGTGTTTGAGACTGATCAGATAAAGAGAGGCATTGCGACGATGAAGAAGGGATGAAGAGGCGTGCCCTCTCTCAGACGGCTGCCGGGTGGTGTCTGCTGGAGTGTTTGAGAAGCATAGGAATGAGAAGGAGAGAGAGACAGACCCCTTTAGCTTCAGATTCCTCCTGCTGCTTTGAAGCTCGCCTTTGATCTCAACTAGTCGTGTGCACAGTGTGATCAGGAGATAAAAAAAAAATACACATCAAATATAGGATCCAGCGCAGGAGATTACAAATGAAGAGCTGCATGAAAGACAATGAATTAATCTGTTAAAGGAATAGTTCGCCCAGATGATTAATTCTATCATCGTTTACTCACCTTCATGTCCATTCAAAACTTGTTTGACTTTCTTTCTTCCATAAAACTCAAAAGGAGAAATTCTGATGCATATTTTGGTTGATCTTTGACGGACGTTTGATGCGTATGGTGATTGACGCTCGCAAGCTTTATGAAGGATACAAAAGCATCATGGAAGTGGTCCATATGTCTTGTGTGCTATATACAAAGACTTCTAGAGTCATACGATAACTGTGGCTAAGAAGTAGACCAAAATGAAGTCTTTAAAGAGAAAGTGTGTTTTGGGAACTGAATCAACTAATTCATTGAAAAGATCTGATTCAAAAGAGTTATTCTGAAAAATCTAGGAAGGTTTAAGGTGAATAATGAGAAACTGTGGTCTGTTTCTCACACAAAATTGTTGTATAACTTCATAAGACATATCTTATGAACTTTTTAAAGTGCTTTTGTGTCCTTTGTGAAAAGCTTTATATGGATTTGGAGAGTCTTTACCGCAAAAAGTGTTTTTCGGTGTCTTTGTTTTCCAGAACAAACATCTAAACATTCTTAAATTGAGACATTTATATATATATATATATATATATATATATATATATATAATAAAATAAAAAAATCTTAATTAAAAAAGAAAAGTGTATTTGTCTTTTCCCATTGGCAGCTATTTTAAGCATTAACGTATAGACTCATAAACAGAAAGACTTCTCATTATTTTGCTTCTCAAGTAAAATGTATTGATTTAAGAATGTTTCGATTTTAACAATCTCTCCTGATGTGTTCCCTGGAAGAATGAATCTCATATCATTCAATTATGACAAGATTTTCCATTTAGGCGTGGAATATTACTTGAAGTTATGGCGTAATTCTACTCTTCCTGAACAACCACACATTCCTCTAACAAACACACACTGTATAGTCAACATATGTGAATTTGCAAGCCATGTCAGTGACAAAGCTTCCTACTTTTGGTTATCCACGGTCTTCCCTGTTTTCTGTTCATCAGAGCCCATCCCAGCTCTGTAAGCGCAAGAGACCCTCCGGTGGCCACACTGCCCTTGCGGATCCGGCTCAGTTTTATTGCGAACCTTTTGTTTTTGCTGCCACGTTAGTTGAGGAGGGACGACTCTCCTGGTTGTGCAACAAATTCAGAGAACAAAATGTATTCTGGTCATAACGTTTTGTTCGAAATGATGTGGCACAGGAAATTGCACTTTGTTGAGAGAGATTTCAGTAGCTCAACGCTTATTAATGTTTATTAGAAGACATTTGATCCCTTGAAAAAAAAAGTTAATTATCATTTTTATTGCGCTATTCTGCAGAGCAGAATAAAATTTGACAGCACTGGGCAGCTTTCGGAAATATCAGCAGTCATCTGTGGCGGTCACAACTGCTGTTCATTTTATATTTGGCACGAATGGACAGTCTTGGAATCAATTTTGTGCACTTTTATTGTTTTTAGCTCATGTTTTGCTCTGTGATGGAATAGCATGCTACAAACAAGTGAAATGTTCATATTCTCTTCATATTACCGATCATAAACAAAAACGAGTGCGAAAAAGTCTTTTGTAGTCAGTTTGATCACCTTAGAGGTGAATATCCTTCCATTTTCAGTCACGCAAAATTATAAACGAATCTCTCTTTGTAGACACTGGAGTTCTGTAACATAGTACATAGAAATAATAATGACCTCGATGATGATAATAATAACACTTATGGTTGTCTGTTCTTGTTGTTTTTAAGTGTTGTGAAAATTGTAAGAGAGTTAAAGTATTTAAAAAGAAAAAAATCGGTCTTGTTTTTTTAATTGCTTTTGTTTTGTTATATTATATTACTGTGTACCTATTGTAAATATGAAGCACACCTATTTTGCAAGCCAAGGATTCACTTTGTACTGTTGTTATATATAAATAAAATTTACTGGTTAAAAATGGTGGTTCTACTCAACTCATTGAGCAACTCCCTGGCGTCATCTGAAACAGAATGACTTCTGTCAGCCCCGAGGGGAAAAATAGCCTCACATTCATCCCACTTAGTTGGGGTTAATGTAGGGATGCAATTTAAACCCTGCCATCAATGAACACTCACACTCAGACTCGCTGCGTAACAAGGTAACCAATGGAGCTTAAACAGCCTGGCGCTGCAGTTTGTCTTTCCACGTGGCCATTATCCCTAGCTGGACATTTCTCTCAGACAAATGACATTACAATGGTAATGGGCCGGTGGTTTCTGATTGGATGGCTGTGTAAAATGCCCCCAGTGGGACTGAGGTAGATGTGCCTGTTTTTGATCAATACAGATGTCTATTTCGGGCAAGAACACCACGAAAAACAGCCTAAGGCAATGTGTTTTGTTACTTTATTCACAGTAACCTTGATTTACAGTTTTTAAACGCCAAATAAGTGCACTGTTGACCACTGAGGTGTGTGACCCCTGTGCCATAAGACATCAGCTGAATGTTATCGTAACATCTGACATGTAGTGATTTAGTGGCATATTGTGGTTTAAAATTCACTGGAATGAAAATATATTAATTACGTTTTGCAAATACATGTCTGGGAAATGTATTTGTGCTATCAGGATGCTGACAAGACCATAGTGAAATGCCTTGTATTTAGGTGTTCACCTGTAAAACGTAAAAAGCTCAAGCAGGATATTCAAAAAACACAGAAGCAAGTTTTTATCTAAATTGACAAGTCAAAAAAAAATATTTATATTATTATTATATATCACTAAATACATCAATTACACCCAAAAAAACAGCACTCCAAATTCTTTTTAGCACCACTTTTTAATACTTTATGGTATTTTTGCATCATTTTTGGAGCTTTCATTATATGATAATCATATATTTGGAACATTTATTAATATTTTTAATTAGTTTTTATATTGAAACATTTTCAGTTATAGCCTTATTTTAGTTTAAGTTTTAAAAAAATTGTTATGTGCTTTTGTCATTTTTTGTTTTTGTTTATTTCTATATAGCCTTAATAAATTTCTATTTCAGTAGGCTTTTCCTCATTTTTAGTATTCAGAAATTTCGTATTCAGTTTTAGAAATTTAAATCAAAACGTAAAAAAAAAAAACTTGTCTTGGCAACTAACTAAAATAAGCACAAAAAAAATTCATCTAATATTTAAAATTT